CCAATCCGCGTTCGTCCATATCAACGTTCCGCACCATCAACAGCATTCGTTATGCCTAGTGTGAACTTTTGGAAAGATGACGAAGTTGTCGTCGTCTCTCCCACCCGAAATTACACAGTACTTGATTACAAAGCTTTCTTCGACGATATCAAATATCCAACCGGGTACGAATACTGGATCAACAACAAAGATCTACTTAACGAACTAAAGCCGCCTGAAATTGAACTACACCAAATATATGGTTCACAAATGCCAACTCCGGGCGTACTTCTATACAATAATCGTACATTTCCAGATTTACAGCCGGTGGTTTTGCCTGATAATGGTGATGGAACGGTCAATATTCGAAGTCTACTCGGATTTAAACATTGGGAAGGAAAACAAAAACAAGATATTCATTCAACTGAACTACCTGGTGTGGAACATCTAGCTATCTTGAAGCATCCAACAACGATCAACTATGTTGTGCAAGTGTTATCTGGACAGTTTAATAAGGAAAAATAAACATTGATTTTTGTATTTTTGGCATGTACATATATACATATGTCCGGTGTGAATGAGTTGTGTGCACCTGTATTAATGAGCGAGTGGGAGAGCGAGAGATGGAAAAGAGGAAAAGATTGTTGACAACTTCTGTTCTTTCGTACTTCTATTTTTTATATATGCTAACAGATTATTTATACTGAAAAACGAAAAATTCATCAGCATGGCTGATGTTTTCATATGCAAGACGATGTAAAAGTTTGTAAAGCGTAATTATGAATATATTCATATGTGGAAGGATTCCATAGAACTGATCATTTCTGACACATATACGAAATTTTAGATGTTCGTTCACGATACACCTGCTGCGTTATACGGTCGAGGCTTGAAGATCACATCTGATATACTCGAAGTTAGTTGATCTTACATTGACAACAATTATATCTGCATACGATTAGAAATGGTATTCGAAATACAATGGTACTCTTCAAGAATTTCAAAACTACTTACTTGAACAGACATTCGACAATCTGCTGTTTGCTGCTTGGTCCCTTCGAGTAAAATATCGAGAAATGTTATTAAAGACTATTATTACTTGGGTTTGACGAAAGGAATTTTTCGAATTTGAAAATTCTTTTTCTTCTTTTCTATAGCTTGAAAAACAAGCAAATTTGGAAGTCAATAGTCGATGGTATGAACTGATCGCCGAGTTTGCAGGCCGGGGAGCCTCTGAGCAAGAATGGTGTCATACTATTTTCATCCTTGTACGTTTGATTAAACAGATTAAAGTATTCTTACTATCTTATCTGGAAACTTAGGATAATAATCAATTTGTCATTCATCGACAGAGTACTGCTCTGCTTAGTCATGGGCTTACAGGCCTCTCGAGTTGGCCAGCATCGATCTTTCTTGGTGACTATCTTATGAATAGAATCGATTTGGTGAGAAATAAGTACGCATTTCAAAAGTGATTTCAAACATACGAGAAATGCTGTTTTAGACGTATTATTGAACTCGGAGCGGGATCAGGACTGCTTGGCTTAGCTCTTCTGAAATATTCGAACGATATCTCTTCGTATACATTTACAGATTATTCGCCAATGATACTGAATCTTCTACGACAAAATGCACTACTGAACTATTCCGATGAACAACTTATTGCAGTTAAAAAAAGCATTTCTCGAAATGACTTTCTATGTTTAGTTTCTTTTTTCAGAAATCGGTGAACATCGAAGAATTGGATTGGAATCATTGTTTGACTGAAATTGTCAATACAGATAGCTATGATTTTATTTTGGCAGCTGGTAAACGCACAAATGAAATTCTTCTCAGCTAACTAACTATTTCATGCTTAGACGTTGTTTACGACCCCTCGATCATCGAAAATCTAGTCAAAACTATTCGAATTCTTCTGCAAAATAACAGAGCAAGTTGTGCTTACATTGCTAATGCAATCCGTAATGATTCTACCTACAACCAATTCCAAAAAACTTTAAGTAAATTCTTCGCATCTTTCATGAAATTTTACTTTCCTTCTATTCTGCAGTTCAATCATCGATCAAGGTTCATCCGATCGCTAAGGAGACTTGTCAGTCGATTGAAATCCTTCAGTTGACCGTGTAATCAGTTAGAAATAAATTTTCCATGAAATTATTTATTCGTTTTCATCTACTCATAATGTTTTCATGAAATCTAAATAATGTCGAAGCGAAGTTTTCGTCACATGTTGACAAAAGAGTTCGTTAGTCTTCATACAAAGATCTTTCAACGAAACAAAATTGGGTTTGGTCGGATCGAATTGTAAACGTTTGACATATTTCAAATACAAACAACGTGTCCGTAATTGCTGGAAACTTTGCTTCAACACCGGAGGATAATCCAATAAACGTTCCCGGGAAAGATTCATTTCATTATAAAGAAAATCAAAGTTCAATTCGATTAGTTTATAATCATAAATGAAGAGTTTCGGATATTGATTAAACAATCGATCCAATTCAGTGGATTCGAAGCTTAAGTGTGTGTTCATTTTGAAATAAGTATCACTGATATCTTGCAATGGTAGTGTGAGCAGTTTTGGTGCACGAAGAACAAAATCATAGTTGGTTAAGTGGAACTTCCTTTGAAACCAATTGAATTTCGAATCTAATGTTTTTGTACTTAAGTTTAACAAGAATGGGGCACGAAGAAGTATATCACGAATGTTTTCACTGGTGAATCCTTTATTTTCGAGGTAATTTATACGTACACGTAGATCGTCGATGGATTCTTTGAATATCCAGGGATTGTAACTGAGAAATTGTGCGAGAGATTTGTTCTTGATGCCTATTTCGTTGAGGAAGACTAGATGTTGGACGCAATCGCGTTCAAAATTGAGTGTAAGAACATATTTGGCTTTGATATTCGGTTGATTCCAACGATACACATCAACACCCATTTCGACAAACCGTTTCAATGTCTCCGATTCGTTGATTAAATATGCTAAATCGAATGTAAATGGACGAAGAACTGGATACATTTCGTTGATGTGCAGTTCTAGCGATTGATGAATCTCTTCGTCAGTGTAGAGATCGCGTAGATCGGGTTGAATTAAAACTTCGAGTGGAATATTCAAACTAGAAGATAAACAACTATGATCTAGGCAAAGGTTTCTTTCGTTGACAAACTTGTCGGATTTTCTGTTCAACGACATTGCAGTTGAAGTTGGTTTTTGACTAGAGATTGCTGATGAAAATGCTTTCTTATCAGACCCGAGCATTGTCAAATCATCTTTTTCTTCTGAAAATATATCGTTGTCATCGTCGTCTTCCGTTGCTCTTTTCTTTGAAGATATTTTAGATTGAACACGAGCGACATTATATTGGGTAAACTGAGGTTTGATTTCATCGAAAGTGCTGTCCTGTTTGTTCAAGTTGTGAATCCGTTGCATTTGATCTTGAAAACTTGGCGAACGCGGATGGAATCTACCGAATTGACGGTGTTTGTTATTCACTCGAGAAGGGTATTCCGAAACATGTCGATTTGTTAGAGCTGACAGCGAAAACAATCGACGAGTGGTGACGTTGGAGAGAAATATCGAGGAAACAGTTCGTTTCAACATCTAAAATGAATGAAATAGTTACTATCAGTATTGATTTAACTAACGAAAGAACGAAATGATCTTCTCAATAATGGTTCGTACAATAAGCAAATAGCACATGAGTTATATAGGTGACGCTAGGACTGTATAATTTCTCCTTGGTCCGAAGCAGGGATATACCGCTGGTTTTTTGTATATTCCACCTTGTCCCAAAAGATGTATTTGTTTCCAAAAAGTTTCCGGCTAAATTTTCAACAGATGTAAAAGTTAATATTAAATTGATGTCCTTATGGTACTCTCGACATATTGGCGCGTTCATGAGAAAACGAAATAGACTTCGTTTGTGTTAACTTTCAAGTAGTGACAGGAAACTTAAGCCTATTAGCTCAACTAGACAAAGCTTGGCAATCTAAGTCAGGGCTCCTGACAAAAAAGAACATTGGATCTGAAGTTGTTATGTTTATTGCCATTCTATTTTCTAAATAAAAAAATGAAGAAGTTGCTTAATAGAAAGCAAGCCATTTGTCTGCTGTTACATAAAATATTCATCGGTAATGTCTACTCTGACATTCCTCCTTCTCTTTCCGTCCTTTATGTGTCGATCTCCTTGATGTAGAAACACTATTTATCTTAGTAGGTGGATGCATGAGCTACCTAGGAAAGTTGTGATTCGCCTACATACTCTCAATCAAGCTCTGGTATTGCAATGCAAATATGAATATTATTTATACAGCTCTTAAAACTATACAGAACAATACACCTATATATATATATATGTCGATTAATATCTCGCAGTTTATCATGTGCTTCCATTTGCTGAAACAATCGAAGATTCTGTTTGAACAAGATTGAAAAGGCACGGTTTGTAAATAATATAAACAACTCTCAATCAGATACTTGTATAGATCACAAGGCTGTTATTTTTCCTTTCTGTCGAAAATAAAACCGCCGAAAAATAGATATATCGAGCGGGAATCGAACCCAACAACCAGAGACTGGCTTTCTGGGCCAGCACTCAGACCACTAAGCTATCGAGACGCACTTTCGATATCCATTCTTCGACGTTTGAAGGTGTGTATTTGTTTTCGACAGAAAGGAAAAATAACAGTCTTGTGATCTATAACAAGTATCTGTCTACTTTCTTGCATGGAATGAGAAAAACTTCGTAGCTCTCAATCAAGTGTTCTCATAGTGCTAGAAAAGAAAAACGAATTTGAAAAGTTTCAGGAGAATCTAATTTGCAAGTGGCTTATTGACATTGTTAGTTTATGACGTGTGAAGTTTAGAGACTGTTGACTATGGAACTGATGTAGTACAATAAAGAGGAATCCGGGCTTTTTTTTTCTTATATTTTCAGATCGCTTATTCTATCACGATACCAAACTGAACTCATTTTATTTATACGCATTGCTAATTGTGCAATATCAGTTCAATATTTCTCATGTATTGCTCATCAGGTACTGATCGAGTGTCGACTCGAATGCTCTCGTACGAAATGCGAAACTTCAAGGTATATTTTGCTGGTCAACATATACCCGATGCGCGATGGTCAGACTTCATAGATCTAGGTCAAGGATATGGTAAATTAGCAGATGCTTTGCGCCTTCTCTTTGCTATCATTGTAAATTCTAGGTAAAGATAGTAATCATGTGTTTTTCATGGGACAAATCATGGAGAATGTCAACCCGTTCTCCTTTCAAGTTATGGACAATAGTTATGCAAAAGATCATCAATATGTCTTCCAACATGGACGAATTGTTGCAAATCTTCAATCTCAAAATACTCAAGTATCACTCAATCGTAGTGAAGCATGCGCAATGCCTATACAGCCGGTAACTTCCATGAACTCAATGTATACGCCAGATGTCGCTTCAAATATGTTGTCGTACGAAATAAAGGATTTCAAAGTGTTTTTCAATACCCAATATGTCACCGATGCTCGATGGATTGATTTTACGGACTTAGGACAAGGCTATGGGAAAGACAGTCGTCACGTATTCTACATGGGTCAACTCATGCAAAATGCGCATTCATTTTCATTTGAAGTACTCAAGAAGGGTTACGCCAAGGACAAAAATTTTGTCTTCCACAACGGTCGAATCGCCGAAGGATTATCACCAATTGCTTTCAACAACTGATACTGATTAAAAATGTGAATTCGATGTTCATTTTCTGCACTAACAACTCGTCTGTCTCAATCAAATCTGTCAAGTCGTTTTGCAAGAACTTTAACTACTACTTCATCTTTATGAAGTTAATCTTGTGGAGAAACTCGTGTATTCTTTTTTCATTTCGAAATAAAATCTTTTCAAGGAATAAAAAGACCTTGTTGAACTAATTTCATCGACTCTGTGAATCTTTTGTTCATTTATTTTACCTGACTTACAAAATAACTCATGTATAAAGAAACGTTTTCACATCAAAAACTCATTCAGACACTTCTCGTCGGTAATTAAGTCACGTGTTCGTGGACAATTTTTGAGGTTTACACCTTGTCAGGAATGTCGTAGAAAGCATGGCGTTAGTCATTGTCAATTTATCTTCCGCTTCTACCAAAAGACCTTGATAAATTTCATCTTAGTGTCTTGGATTCATATGATAGGAAAATTAAGACAAAGTAAATGACAATTTCCACGCAAAAGGATTAGAGACCGATGTGAGAAGATGTCAACATACAACTAACTATTTTTTAAACGAGCATTAAATGTTGTTTTATATGATAACTATAACTACCTATCCTTGTTTTTGTCCTTCCATCTTCTTTTTCTTTGACACTATTTTGTGCATTTGTCATTACACAGCGCTAGGTCATTATATTAACCTCCTGACCTCATCATAAGCTGTTCATCAACATGACAGCTTGGACGATGTGTTTTTCCATTTGACCTCGCGTTTTTTCCTTCTTTTCTTCCCTCTTTTTCCATTCTAAATCAAAAATTCATTGAACTCCTAAAGATTTAATCGAAGTTTTATCAGCGTATAAAATAAAGATTTATTCTTCGCATCTTCTTCTCTCTTTCTTTCATTTTCTCCAATACTGACATTTCAACCGAGTGTGTACGTGTGCATCCTGTTCTTCGCTTCTATTCATTTCATTTGAAGAAATATTCGCTTTCACAACACTGACATATAATGCCTGTATTCTTATCTTCGTTTCAGATCATCGCTATGAATACAAAATTTATTATTGCTGTACTTCTTGTCGCAATTCTTTGTGTCGATTTCGGACAAAGTAAATTGGCATCTGACATCGATCGATATATTTATTTGCTCTTCATTTTCTAGGTTTGCAATGCTATCAACATGATTATTGTCTAGGTGGATGTCCAACATTATCGTCAAGCATTGTGCAATGCGCATCAAGTGATAGTAAATGTTGGGTATGATACAAATAGATTTTCATCACTGAATTTACATTACTAATTTTGATTTTAAAGAAACTCAGCTCACCATTAGGAACAAAACGTGGCTGCGGTAAGTTCTGCGAAAATCTCGTCTGTTTCATATAGACCTTGTCTACTTTAGGTGATACACGATGCATGGTTCAACTTGATACAGGCATTATGGGCACTGCCAGCGTTTGTTGTTCTGGTAATCTTTGTAATTCGGCAGTTAACATGAAAACTACAGCTATGGCGAGTATGTTCGGCAGTATCATTGTCTTCATTTACAAATGGTTGATGTGAATACTAATTAACAATGTACAAAGCAAAAAACGTTCTTTTTTTTTCACCATTATTCTGTAGCTTCGAAAAACGATTGTTAAAATAAAATCAAAATAAACAAACACTGAACTTCTCTTTTGTATAGAAGTGTATTGTTTGATAAAGAAATGAATATTTGTCTAACTACACAATTTGTTGTTAGGCAGATTAGACGGCAATCCAGTGTGTGTGTGTGTGTGTGTGTACCTGTGTGGGGGTTCGATTACTGATTCTTTTCAGACTGAATAGAAATGCGTCTTTCATCATTATTCACATGATCATTCGATGAACTTTTTCTATAGTCGTTCTTCTCTCTTCTTCCTCTCGTTTAACTACACAAATGCACATTATCCTTTAGCTTCCTCTCAACTTCTGTTCTACGCTCGTCGGACAATACAGTAGACACTTCTATCTTTTCGACTGTATGCCCTCTCGAAAAACATCAGAAAGAGAGAACTATTCTCTATCTTTCTCTCTTCTACATTTTCTCTTCGGCCTGATTCGAATACATATATAAAGAGACACACACCCATCAATTCAGTATAAACATCGACGCCTTTTCCTATCAGTTAAGACAAGCAAATTTTCAATATGAAATCATTCATCATTGTCGCCATTGTTCTTCTTGGTTGTTTCGCCATCAACGAAGGTGAGTTGATTCGCATGAACTAGTGAACATTCTTTTCGAAATCATGTTTTCTAGCTCTTCAATGCTACTCGCATGATGTTTGCTCAACAAACTGTCCACAGCTTAGCAACACAATCAAACAATGTAATGCTGATGAAACTAAATGCTACAAACTAGCTGCTGTCGCTGGTGTTAGCCGTGGTTGCGGCAAAGATCGATGCAACTTCCAAGTAAGTGCTATTTCATGAACCGTTGAAAGCAAATCGAACATTCATTTTATCGTAGGCTGATGTTGCTTCAAATCTTGCTAATGTTTGCTGTGAAGGTAACTTATGTAACTCGGCTGTTACACCAAAAATGGCACTTAGCACAATCTTCATGGTTATTGCTGCCTTTCTTTTCGCTCGTATGTGAATTGCGACGATAAATCTTCTCGAAAACTAATCAATTAATCTCGCATATCTATGTTGATGTTGTTATCAATCGTCATGTCTTGAAGTGTATTGAGTTATGTGTTTTTTTTTTGAAATCGCTAATAAAACAAAATAACAATCACTTTACCAAACTTCATTGTTGACAAAAGACGCGATATGCATTCGAAACAACAAGCACATGCTGGTTAGCATGTGCACGTGAGAAAGTGCGTGTTTGTACTCAAATAAACCTCGTATAGAAGATGGAAAAATGGTTAAAATGCCTATGTGGGATAGTGGAATAATTCACATATATTATACGTCATGATAGTCTTTTCCTATCTCGTGGTTTGGTATTGTCCACTCGCGTAGATATGTGTATATAGCTGTCGTTATATGCATATGTGTATGTATATTCTCCCGTGTTCTCTCTCTCTTCCTTCCTCTGTTGTTATTCATTTCTTTCTTGGAATAAAGATACTTCTATCAAAATCTTTTATTTCTTATCAAGACGTGACAGCCTAGAACGTCTGAATGTCTGTTTTCGAATGTAATCATGAGAATATGTAGAGTCTAACAAGAATATTAGGTTTCATGCGAAAAATCATACGCAATGTTAATGATCACGGAAAGGAAAAGTTTTATTGAAAAAAAGAGAGGGATAAACAATGTCTTTAAAGATTTCCACGTGCTGCTTGGTCACGTTCGATAGCTTCGAAGAGTGCCTTGAAGTTACCAATACCGAAGCCCTAGAAGAAAAATTCGACTCGGTTTGTTTCCGATGTAAACAGAGACGATTGGACTTACACTATGATTTCGACGTTGGATGATTTCGAAAAATAACGTTGGACGATCCTGAACGGGTTTGGTAAAGATTTGTAACAGATAACCATTATCATCGTAATCAATCAAGATATGTAATTTTTCAATCTATGGGAGAGAAGGGTGAAATTTTGATGCAAAAGAATTTGTGAACTATTTACAATGGATAGATCTTCGACAATTTGCACTTTGGAATGTTTGAGTCGTTCTCTTAGATCCGTGTAGTAGGCGGAAGGAACTTCGAGAAATTGTGTACCGCGTTCTCGAAGTCTAGTAACCTAAAAGGATAAAGATTCGCATTTTCAGCATGGGTTGGTTGAGAAATAGAAAGAAATTACACTTGTTAGAATATCTGATGTATTCAATGCAATATGTTGAACACCTGATGAACCATAGTAGTCGACATATTCCTGATAAAAGAAACAGAGTAGAGTACAGTTTTAGCTGAATGACCTTTTTACCTGAATTTGTGATTTTTTCGAGCCAGAAGCTGGTTCATTGATTGGCATCTTAATCGTTTCTTGTTCATTGGATACGACAATGGAACGAAGCGATGAATATTGTGTATGAATGACACTGTCATCAACGGACCAGAAACGATGAAATTGAAGAGTATTTTCATACCTAAAATTTCTCTTACAATATTTTCCAAATGGCGACTTTTCAAGGAATTGACTTACCATTTTGTCGTATTTTCCATTTCATTATCCGGCATGTTACCAACAATATGGTCAATAAAGTCCAATTTGACTTCCGGTCTAAAGCAATCAATGAAATCCTACTTTCATTCATTCCCGCGAACATTCTTACAATTTTTCCAATAACGCATCTTTGTTTTTCAATGGATGCGGATGATAGTTTGGTAAGAATAAGCCAGCATAATCTCCACGTTCAATCAATGTGTGTGTTGTATCACCATACTGCACGAAGAAAAAAGAAATATTGTGCATTCCTTTATCATTGAGTGATAAAAATTCATCTTACTGTTTGAACGCAAGCCATTTTCACTGATCCGTGTTCATCGGTTTCTGTCCAGATATCCTTAACAATTTTGCCACCTTTTGATTTGGCTTGTTCGACAATATGTTCAATGTTATTCACCGAAAATGCGACATCCTTGACTCCGTCACCATGTCGAACAAGATGTTCACCATATTCTTGATTATCAGGTAATAATGGTGATTGAAAAACGAAAATCACTTGATTTTGTTTGACAACATGCGAGACAACTTCGCGCGAACCTGTTTCAAGACCACGATATGCGTAAGGCTCAAATCCAAAACGTAAACAAAACCATGATGAAGCCTAGAAGGGCACATTTGAATTTTCTTTACACTTCAATCACATCTTCTTACTTGTAAAGCATTACCAACCCATAAAGTAATATGATCAAATGCTTGAATACTTTTTCCAATAGTCTAAACAATAAATGCGTTCAAAAAAGTGCCGAGAAAACATCAGAGTGACTTACCATTGCTGCTAACTGCGATTCGAAAATACAATTCTCTAGAAACAAACAGAAAGTAAAAACGAGTGTAAAATGAAGCAGTTTAAGTTTAAGTAACATGAAATATACGCGATTGGTTAGTCCATTTATCCCCCTTCGGAATATGTACTAATATATTAGGTACAAATCGAAATAAACAGATATTATCGATTTAATTAATCGATCATACTTGCTCGAGATAATGAAATTTTTTCTAAACTATTCATAGGAAAATGTTTAGTTAGTTGAACTCATTCGCGATATGACAGTATCCATTCCAGAAGGTGCGTCTACAACTGAGAAATACCGACACCTACATTCGACGTGTATATACACAGAAATCGAAAATCTAGGACGATGAATTGGGTACTATAACCCAAAAGTTTATCGTAAAATTAATCTTACTTGTCCTCCTCTGAGATGCGAAATAAACAAAATATCTTTTCGTTCGCTGCAATGCTTTTATATTACAAACACACCTATTTCTGTTGACTCATTTTATCATGTGATGAGATATGGATAAGAATGGCAAAATTTACATAGTGCACTCGAAAAAATCGCGTACGTTGAAGAAGATTCTTTTGTTCGCGAATAAGATAATGAATGTTGACATCATTGTCCATTTGTGTATGAAAATTAGAGGAAAAAAAACAAAATTGACCGATGAAATAATCGAATTCCATTGCTTTACATCCGTTCGCAGCCTTAGACTTTCTATTGTTCAACAATGATGCTATTGCATAGTAATTAGAGTATGTCTTCCGCTTTGACGACATTCTATTTAGTTTGATCAATAGACGAACAGAGTATGAGTTGATTTCCTTTCATTTTGACGTAATGTAAATGTAACCCTAATGAGACAAATTATCTCATCAGTATGAGCGGCTTTTTCTTCCTTGAAATTCCACATCGACCTTGATGGAAGTCTTATCTATTTGTCTGATTAGTTTTACACCTGATTCGTCGTTGTTGCCATCGAACCTAGCTATTCGCTCTGGGAAATTATTGTCAATTGTTTGTCGAACAATTAACCATATTGAAAAGAAGATCTTTTGTCTGTCACCAAGAAATAAATAAATAAAGAACAGATCATCGGATGACCTTGTAAATAATATCCTGATATGAAATTACATTTTCTATCAGGAGATTTCATTTGAAGAAAATCATCAGCGAAGGTTCCTTTTAATACACTGTAATTCCCTGGATATATATGTATGTAGAACTGTAAGTCTCATCACCTGCTCGACTTCGACTAATTCATCAATCATTGCGGATGATATATCAAGCGATGTAATAATGTGTTTCTGATTTAGATGCATTCTTTCAATGTGTATATAACTAATCTCTTGACTTGATGTATAAATGAATGTTTTCTTACATAAACATTTCGGAAAAAGCTCACTGATTCATTACTCTTATCGGATAGAAATAACAATTCCGAATCACGTTTACATCTAAGCTACTCATAGTTTTAGCATAAAGAATCCGGCTAATGACGATAATTTGTTGTTGTGCATATCAACTCGTCTCGACGGGAGTTACGTCTCCACAAAATCGAACATAAATATTCAAACGCTTAGATCCCCCATCGGATTGTTTTTCTTTCAAAAAAAAAAAAGAAACTTGCTCAAACTAGTCATACAATCATAATTCTCCCTCGCTCTCAGTTAGCTAATTGGATTGTATACGGAGCAAACGGCTGTTTCGTATGTATGTGGTATGTCAGTCTCATTCTCTCTTTATTTAATTAGGCAATATAATCTTAGTTCCTTATTCGTAAATGTGCATAACATTAACTGTGCCGTATGTTTTGTCTCTCTAGTGAAGTCAAGTGGTAAAGAACATAATCTTATTTCACTAGATGTACACTCGACAGCTGAACAACTTCTCATATCATTGTCTGATATCTTGTACGTTTATGAAACAGGTGAATGATGCAACTGTGCTGATGAAAGAGATAAATTAACGCTAGAATTCACCACCTACTGATCAATTATTCTTTAATATTTAATATCCTCTTTTGCATCAGTTGTTGTTTCGATGATTATTACTGTTACGCAAACAGAAGAGGAAAAGAAAAGGAAGAGCAGTGGACGATTTACATCCGTGTATTTATTATTTTTTTGGACATAGTCACTAGCGATGCAATGGTCATATGTAGAATTCATTTTCTGTTTTTTCTTTCTCTCAACAAGAGAAGAAGAGACATGTCACTTAACTGTCCTCTATTACGTCAATTTGTCTGTCTGTACTAATCTATTTTGTGTGAATCCACTCTTCTTTTCTTTTTTTCTGTGGATATGTATAAAAATGAGATGTAATCGTAGCTGGGATATTTCTTTAAATGGTACATGAGAGATGATCGTGTTCGATGAGCACATTCTCTTTTCAGATAGAATCGACCTGGCATTGCTCTTGCGTGTTTAAAACTTTTATTTGATTGACACGCGTGCCATACAAAATTATGAAAACGAAGCACGTCGAGAAGAAGTAGAAAGAAATTTCATCTCTTCTGTAAGGCAGGTGAAAGATGGAGACTATTTGATTAACACTTCTATGAACATTTATATACACAGTACTGGTGATTCAAGCGTCGCAGCATAATTCACACGAGTAAGCAATGAAATCATATGTGTATGTTTCACTTTATATTTACGATACGAGAGTGTCGAATGTTGTTTGGTTTGAAAGAAAAGAGAACATGATGATAACACAACGGAAAAACATAATGTTAGTTCATTCATCGACGCGCTCCATTATTCTAATAAGCGAGTTCATCGATCTCGATGTTAATTGTTCATGTGCCCTTGTATATGTTGATTATAGTGTTGCGTGTATGTAATGATTGACGATCATTGGTGTAGATGATTTGAGAAAAAAAGGAGAAGTGAATCCTTAGAATAACCATCAGCAGAAGAAGAAAGCGAGTATGTGTGATGATCCAAAACGACCTTGAAGAAAGGAAGCAATATATACTTGTATATATATACATATACACATTCTACTTCGCAATTCTCATGCTTGACTATGTAATAGTTTTGTTATTATTATTAAAGGACTTCTCTTGTCAATAATAGAATTGTAGGAAATTTCGTTTCGAACGTCTTTTTTTTTCTTTAATCAAGATATGGTTATCTTGAAAAATTTGTATTTCTTGAAGTTATCACTGATAGAGATCGATCATCAAGTTGTCGGTAAATCACGCAAGCGTGTAAACACAACTGGCATGACATATCTGCTTAATATCTTTAGCTTAAAGTTAATTATTCACTTTTGCTTATGTTCATCTCAAATAGCAGACACGTACGCAGTTGATGATCATCTGTTTTCGACAATGATCGATCACGAATATCTTACGTCGTGTGCATCACGTATCGATTGAACAGGTAAAGGTATACATATACATTTGAGAACTACTTGAAAATTAAATATTACATAGAGTATCACCAGAGACGGAATAAGACCCATAATTGTACTTCTTTTCTTTTTATTCGCTCATTCTCTTTCTCCCTCCCTCCCTCTCTCTCTTTCTCTGTTGCTCTTTCTCTTCTGTCTTGAAAAGAGAAAGAGAATGAATATGAGCATACATATACACAGGCATACACACACACATCTAAACGGCAGTGTCTGTCTCAAGAGTTGTTTTAGATGAGATGCAACCATTGATAGAACAACCACAGTTTCTACTTGAGCCCAAATCCTTATACATCTTTGAAAATCAACCCATCCAACTTGAATGCAAAGCTATTCGAACGCGACAGATATTCTTCAATTGTGATAACAAATGGGTACCAGAGAATGAACATATCAAATCGACTGAAATCAACGTAAGTGATGCGCTGTATTTTTGTCTCATCTCAATTCGCGAATGAACGAACTACTTTAGGATAGAGGCGTCAATGTGATTATCACCAAAATACAATTGACAGTTGAACAAGTCGAATCGAATGCATACAAATGTTTTTGTCAAGCATGGTCGGCAACAGGTGGAACGTTGAAATCTCGAACGGCAACGATTGAAATCGCTTGTATGTATATATAAACATTTTTATTTAAATGAGAAGATGCCGATTAGTAGTTGAAAGATTGGATATGATAGCGTGTCGCTAAATGAGGACTATTCAAGGTAGTAAATGAATTGACATTTTTTTTAACATTCAACTAACAGTTGTTAAAGAAAACTTATCCATTAATCGGATCAAACAGAGAAAAACGTCGAGTATGTTCTAATTTCTCAGCGAAGGTTATCTTTGCATGTGTATGCGCTCATTAAAAAAAATGAAATTATCTAATGATCAATAAGTTAGCCTTGACGATTAAAAATTAACAAAGAGATTCATATCATTGAAAATGTTTCTCTCAAGCGAGATTGACACTCGAACGAAAGAATAATAAGACCTGAACATACATGTATAACAAAGAGAATAATAAAGTAAGAGAACCCATTAATAGTTGACTGAAGTCATTCTCTCAGATGTCAGATCATCAATCGAAATGAAATGACCGCTTATTGAACACATGTTCGTTAGTTGACATTTCTGCATAAATATTTGATCATCTTTAGATTTGGATAAAATTTTTGAATGGGAACCATTAAAAACTGATAGCGTGATCGGTAAATCAGTTGAACTACGTTGCCGTCCACCAAGTGGCAATCCATATCCGAAAGTAAGACAAGATTATATAATCTCGGATGAGAGAAGGAAAAAAATCACTATTCTTCGACCTTATACCAGCAAATAAATAGATCATTATCGTTCTTCGAAAAGACATATGGAGGTTAATAGGACACATACACGGAAAAAAATGATTCCGATATACACACATCTCCGTCCATATTTTGGCATACTTGATCGATTATTCAACTGATACTTGATGTCTCCAAGGGGTGGTAAAAAATCTGTCGTGACGTTTCTCAGTATTGCACGCAGAGAATAATAATCAATAGGCGGAGTTCTTCATCCCTTATAACTGCATTCATCAATATCTGTTCTTTATTTTAGGTAACCTGGTTGAAAGATAATCGACCAGTTGAAATCAATCGTAATGGTCGGTTTATTCTTTCGAACGAGAATTCTTTACTTATCGCACAAGTCAGAAAGATCGACGCGGGAAATTATACATGTGTTGCATCGAATATTGCTGGAAGTTATTCAAGCGAGCCTGCCGAATTAATTGTTCATGGTATGAAACATGTTTCATTCGAATCAATACACACTTTCATCTTCTAGATAATCGCGGTTGGTCAGATTGGCAACCGTTCTCAGAATGCAAAGGTATACCGTGTAGTATTGGTCGTCAACGCCGTATACGAACATGTTTGAATCCGCCAACGGCCACTAACCGACCTAGTTGTGATGGCGAACATATGCAAGAACGAGAATGTCCTGTACCTTGTCTACAAGATTCGCCAAAAAGTGAGATTTCAAATCGGATGACTGCGATGGAATTCTATGTGTTTATTTTCAAGATGCTGTCCTTTCTGAATGGTCAACTTGCATGGGCAGTCCGTGTCAGATAGGTAAACAAAAACGTGTTCGACTCTGTTCCAAACAAACACCATGCAATACTGACGAAGCTGAAGAGCGAGATTGTTCTGTACCTTGTACAAATTCCAACACATCGAATGGTAAAACATGCGCGATCACTGAAGAAACACATATTTTTTCTAATATATTTTCAAGGTGTTTATTCCGATTGGACAAATTGGTCAACATGTCGTCTTCCGGAATGTAGATCCAGTCGTACACGTCAGTGTTTACAAGAGCCGTGCCGTGATTATTTAATCGAAACTCGTTCATGCAAAGAAAATTTTTGTTCGAGTAAAAGGATTAGTTCCGCTATTCTTGTTGAATAATCATTATGTTTTGCTAGGTACTTTCGTTTCGTCATCGACTCTCAATGCTGTTGTTTATTCATCGGCTGGTATCGGTGTGCTCATATTTCTTTTGCTTGCGATATTATTTGTTATAATATGTTGCCGTCGTCGACAACGCCTACCAACAAAAAAAGGTAAACGAAACGAGACCACCGTCTGATTATGTCATCCTTCGAGATCAGAGAACATTCTGTTTTTCAATGGAGTCTAGACTGAATCGAGTGACATTTGTGGATGTTAGGTTGTTTCCCAATCGTTGTGTCGAACAAGGCAACAGCTGAGAGAGAAATTTTTCTTTTCCTCTTGCAATGAAATCGAAATCAAATCGACAGATAGCAATCGATGTGAACAGAAAAAGAATACCACTGAGATAATTGTAGTATGTGTCTGTGTGTGTGTGTGTGTGTGTGTTAGTGAACAGCAACAGCCGGACACTTGATTGATTAATGAATTAAAAAAGAGAAAGTGAGGGAGAAACGCTTATCAAATGCACCATGTGTATTAATTTGTTTAATAAATGAACACGTTTTTGTTTCATGAAATATTCAATACTGTGAACAAACACATAGAATGTTCTGGCAAGTCGCGCGTCAAAACATGAACAGCAATATTTGAGACGACAATCTTAATGATTTCTTCTTTTTCATTTCTAATTAGCTCTATCAAATTGTATTCCAACAACAAATACCTGTGGTGGATGTCACATAGAGAAGAATGATTATCCGTTCTATTATTCGATTCAACAAGACACAAATTCAACACGGTCTTGCGCATCGCACAACAATACAATTTCATTGACGAATTCTGATGTTGGTGTTGAACGTGAAAGATTTCATTTGTTCAATGATTCACCAACGAATTTTTCCAATCAAAATCACTTAAATTTTGTCTACGAGAGGATTCTACAAAGTTTACCTGCACATACCGATCTACGGTATTTTGCTGTCTCGATTTTGAACAATACAGGCTGCCAATTGAAAATTCCCCATACGGGTATCAAACTGACCATACCTGAGGATGCCGTTCTCCTCGATGAAGATCACTTGATTTACGTTGCTTTACTTACAACAGAAAACCAAATGCCAACGCTGACGACAAATCAAACACGTTTATCACCTGTTATATTAATCGGTCCATCGGACATAACTTTAGTTAAACCAGCTGTTCTCTCGTTCGAGCATACAGCAGTTTTAGACTCGGCATGGAAATATAATCTAATGTTTTGTGATGATTCGCAACATTGGAGATGTATTTTAACTTATGGACAAGAGAACATCTCCACACCAGTGCACCTACAATTCGCTCATGAACAACAAGCGTTTATCTTAGTAAGAGAAAAGCTTTTCCATGTTTTTTTTGAGTATATTTTGAATTGAATTTTAGTTTGAGAACATAGGTGCATATGCACTGATTGGCGAATCGATATTGAATCAACAAGCATCGAAATATATTCAGATGGCTTGTTTCTATGGTCAATCTGCATTACGTCTTCGATTTTTCGATAAAACTTCGGACGCATTTGAGCACTGTTTGAACGAAGAGACAGCAATGAAGAATTTTCTATGTGACCAACCGAAACAATTTATTTTACATGATAATCAAGATCAGATATGCATGAATGTTGACTTAGAACTATCGACAATGTCAAGAATTAACATTGGCTACAAAGAAATTCCATTTGCATCATTCTGGACAAATCGAATCGAACGATCTTGTTTCATTTTTCTTATTCCGAACTTACAACCAAATCAAACAGGTCCCGATAAGAATTTTATGGAACAATTTACCATACATGTTGATGTATACCAACCAAATATATTCACAAATGCTTTGCATACACGCCTGCTCATCAATACACATAATGTGAGTTCAGTGAATTGAGAGATCGATCTTACACAATCTTCTTTTAGTTACAATATACATCCGGATGGGATGCAACATCAATGCGTCCGCACCATTTTTCCAAAACATCAGAAAAACCGTCAAGGTATGATTTCTCTTGTAATATTTCCATACGAAAGCACTTCTCTACAGACTGCCAACAGTAATTCGACAGAAACTATGTCAAATACTCGATCCGCCAACTACATTAGGAAACGATTGGCGAATGTTTGCGAGTAATCTACTCGGCATCAGGTACAGACATCTTGCAACGATTTTCCATTCTCGGAATATACTTTCTCGTGTAGTTATCTTCAATACTTTGCAACAAAAACCAGTCCAACAGAACATTTGCTCACCTTATGGGATGCTCGTCAAGAATCATTTGTAAATATGATTAATGTTCTGAATCAAATCGGTCGTAGTGATGCTGCTTGTGTTATCATAGCGCATATGAATATAACAAGTTAATGAACTAATCAACGGTGCAAATAGAAGATAAAGATGAAATACAGACTCGTTTTCGCCTTAGAATTTTAGTCTTTTGACAAATTGTTGGCTTTTCTTTTGGTATTTTTATACGTCTCTACCTATGTATTAGATGTCGTTATTCGTTTTCTTCTGTTTGCTACTTTTTCAGTAATAATAAAGCATAATATCACTGCATCTAATGAATTTGTACATTTAATCGAAGATATCGTTGAGTTTTAAACAAAAGAAAATATCGAAATTGTTTACGAGATAGAATCTGTTTTTCATAGGAGCTTTCACTGTTGGCGACCGTCATCGTTTTGAAAATATTTACATTGGTTGGGGTTTGAAAAATTTCAATGAATGTTCGCAAGCCGGTATGATCAATATATTTCCTCAAAATGAATACAAATTCGACTTGATCGAAAGAGATGATCCAACAATCGAAGAAGAAAATGCGTTGTTCAAATCATCGATACTGTTGTCACCGGATGACAATGAAGAGTTTGAAGATAACATTGAATAGACGACATTTTTAAACAAAAGTTTCGATTAGAAAAGTAAAACGAATAGGAGTGGAATTAGAAAAAGTACGAGATTACTGATTGATGCTACGCCATTGTTGTAGTCTTTATCCTGCGGTAAATAATCCCACGTAATTGTTTTATTCACTGATAATTCAGGCAACTGCAGATTGAATTCTTCGTGACTGTTCAAGTCATTGACATCCAAGGCAGGTACCATTTCGTCATCGTCTTCTACTGTTCTCTCCTCACCAATAAAATAATCTGGTGCTGCTTTTGTCGCATTCACTTGGATAGTTGTTGTAGTTAGCGTAGTGGTCGTCGAACTCTCGGTAAGAGAAGGCAGGACCATTCTTGAATATAATGGTATATTAAACATTGATTTAGATACTAAAGAATACTTTAGTAAGAAAAGTTGACTGATATTTTCGGATATTTGTGTTTACTTACGAGAAATTGAATTACATAAATTTGTGCGACAACATAGTTCAATGCGGACGTCACTATCGAGTGAAAAGTCACTTGGTGTACAATATCGACTAGCACATGTGCGATACGGTTGTTCATCTACATAACCAGCCTAGTGAAATAGTAAAAGAATTAGTTGGATTCATTGACTAGGGTGAGGGTGTTTGTCTTTTACCCAACAAAGTTGTGTTCTTTTATTACAAAGTACCTTCGTTTGATCGTCATTTGTCGTCTCTACGCATGTTTTACCTTTACATGCATGACACAAAAGTTTGTCATCATCGTCGATATTGAGTAAAAGATCCCATTCAAAAGTATGATGAACACAAATCCCGAACAAAAATAATAAATAAACGAATCGATAATGCATTACTTAATTGAATAAAAGGACAATGCTACAGTGATGAGGATATTGTCTACTTCTATTTTTTTTTATTCTTCTCTTATGAAGACACGGAATGACGATTTGTCATATCACAATTATCAACACACTACAACTGTCATGTAAATGTGTTTGTTTTTCGATCGAACATGCATGACTGAGTGACAGCGTAGGTTGCTTTTACTCATGTTTCAAGGCCGAAAATTATCATCGATATTGGTGTATTCGATGTGTGGCGTGCAAATTAATTAAATGTGAAATGAGAAGACAACTGAGCTTGACTGCTCTGTTTCTATCAATAGAATTGATGTGATATTTATGAGACTGAATGAAAAACATAGGGCTTGCTTTAAAAGTGCAGATCTATCATATCGTTTATATGCAATCATCAGTTTCGAAACAATTGTAAATCAGAACGAAATTCTATATAAAAAACGAAGAAGGGGAGGACGAGATGAGTAAGAAGAAGAATAAAAGCTTAGATGACAGATGAAAACGTTGATCGAGCAACATTCTAATGGGTGTAGAAACGAGTAAGAAGGAGTGTAATACGAACGTAAGCGAAAAAGAAAATGAAGCGAGAGAAAACTGATTTGAGTTTTAAAAGACAAATTCGAAACGTATGTGAATGTGTATGATTATAATGTCATCAGACTGACTGAAAAGAGAACATAACAGGGCTTATGGTCGCCAAAGGCCAGATTGTCGAACAGCTTGTTGAAGAAGCGATTGCGCACGACTGATCTGTTCCGGTGTTCCTTCGATAGTTATGATTCTGTCACCACCACCACCGTTGCCACTAGGAATTGCTTGGTCATCGATAATTATATTCGCATTAGTACTTTGACGTATCTGCTGAATTTTCGCGCCACGAGGACCGATGACAGCTCCGACCAGTTCATTCGGCAATGTTACCTATGAATGCCAACGAATGTGCATGTTCATCGAAAAGAAAGAATTTAACGTACACGTGTCGAAGTGAGCACGGCGGTATTGTTAAATCGAGCACCTAAACCTGATCCACCACCATAAGGTACATGAACTAGAGGAGGTAAAGGTCGAATAGGATACATACCACCTCGTGGTGTAGTTGCCGGATACGCGCCACGTGAATTATATCCAGATCGATTGTCACCAGTAGCTGCGTTTGCAAAACCACCTGAATGGAGAACGAAAAATAAAAGGTACTTGAATGTAACTGATTAGAATGCAAACAAACCGTATTCATTCACAGCATAAACATCGAAATTATGTGGATCATACTGAATCAAAGGTGAGCCTCGCGGTTGTTGAGATGATGTCGATATTAAATTATAAATATTCTAAAAGAATGAAAAATATAAACTTCTCGGTAACATATATTTCTACACTAACTTTTAAACATTCAATAATATCGTCTAACTTTCCATGTAAACAAATGATTCTTTCATGACTCATTGGACAGCATTGTGAGAAGACTTTGATATCAAGATTATAACTTTGCCGCAATTCTTTAATATGTTGTCCACCTTTACCAATAATAGCTCCACAGTAGATTTGATGAACGAGTATACGAATTTCTGCTGTTGACGATTCATCGTTATTGTTATTTGATTGTGTCTGATCAGAAGTGCTTCCCGATGCTGTTTGACGTTTACGATTAAATGCTGAAAGACGAGCGCTATCAGTTAAACATGGAATGATTTGATACAATGCATCGAAACATTGCTCTTCTTCGCCACTCAATATCAACACACGCTCTGGAGAGGCACAATCAGGTACTTGGATAATAATACGCGAATGATCAGCACGAAGTTTTTGTATTGCCACACCACCTTTGCCTAGACGAAAATGCGATTTTCTTTTTCAAAGAAAAACCAGCAAAATACATACCAATAACAGCTCCAGCGTCACGAGAAGTCATCAATAAACGAATCTCGATATTAGATGCAGCTGAGTAAGGGTTGTTACTATTGCTATTTATACGTCGATTGCTGATGTTGTTCGCAGTATTATTATTCGATACTTGGCCATAATCATCATCGGATGATGTCATTTTCTCTAGATATTGACTCGGGAAAAGTAGGGGAAGATTGGATTGGGATGTAGGCGCTGGGACCTTATCGTTGAATGATATTAATCAATCAATACGTCTACAATTCAAAGAAATATTCAGTGTACATCACGTTGATGAACTTCATTCAAAAAAACAATATGTATATATAGAAAGAAGAGAATATATATTCAATCGGAATAAACATGAGCTATTCTAACACGGTAATGCAGTTTTCATTCATTCTATTTATATGTTGAGTTTGTAAACCATTAGGAAAGTGAAGAAACAGAGGACGCTCGCGTTTTATCGAAGATAGAGAAAAATATTTCTTATGACAAAGTAGTGTTTAACGATCATAGTTTCACTCGGATGAAATCGTAAGGTCTATGTTCAATAGTTAAACTTCTATCGACTGTATTGAAGCGAGAAGTTCTAGTTTAGAATTGTTCACAGTATGATAAGCAAGTCTATCGTGTATATAAGCTTTTTTTTTATTGTTTTTTTTCCAAAATAATAAAAGAAAAGATCAATCAAAGAACTAAAACAAAATGAACTGTTTTCCTACATAAAAAACAGACGTTAATATGACTAAAGGTTAAGAAAAGAATGTTCATCGACTTTAACTCATAGTACGTGAATCAACACGCCATGGTTTGAAATCAAAAATAGGACATTGACTGCATAATCCTAATGGATTTCTAAAACAAAGGAGAAAAAAAACACGAGTTACATTTTCTCATTCGCACTATGTGTTAGAGCCACTTACGTTTGATCATTGGGTGGTTGGAATGGATTTGCTTGGACTTTTTCGATATCAGTTGTATGGCAGAAAAAGCACTGATTTGAATATCTGTTTATAGCATCAAGTTGGGCTAGAAAGAGATTTAACATGTTTCAGTCAACGAATTTGTACAAATTCAAGGTGACATACCTGGCGTAAATTGACCTTCGTGTTTGTAGAAGTGACGATCACCATATTTAAGATGTCTGAATTGTGTACCAATGATACATGCTGAAACTGGACCGACTAAGCCGCCAGGTACATGGTTTTCATGATTGATACCAATGAAGAGATCAACATCCTCGGGATGTCTAGAAACAAATGTGAACACAATTTTTGAAACGATTCGCGAGGAATGCGCGTAACATACTTGTAGATCATTTTTAATTTGGCTGCATTTTCAAAACTCATCGTATCTGTGAAGTCTTGGAATTGGCTTGCACGCGGAAGACCGCAGAGTTCTCGGAAGGCATTGTAGCCCGGGATACCGTGTTCACGAGCACGGCAGATATTGATTGCAACAATATCGTTACGTCGGATTTCACCCTGTCGGTTGACAGATTCAAATAAACGATGATGAATATCTTGGACGTAGTTTGTATCGCCAGCAAAACCATAATCGAATAATGAACCACAGAGCAATGAATCAACGCCATTATTTTTAGCGCTAGGAAAAAACTCAATACAATAGATATGGTTATGTCAAACTTCCTTTCATACTCATAAGCTAATTTGCATTTGGCATTCACGTCGCGGAGCCAAACTTGGTCAATCAATTCACCTTTTGGTGTGCAACGTGTGAATAAATCACGAACTAACGTATGTAGACGAAGGGCGGCAGCTGCAGCTTCGTTAAACACAACACCCGGCATCTAAGATAGAAGAATTTGGTCAGCTTGAACTTGAGAAATTCAAAATTTGTACATACTGATGGATCGTACCGACTGGTTACGCCATTATCTCCTGTAAAGCGATTTGCTGCTTCTTTGCCAATTAAGATTGGTAACCAATCGTCATACGTAATGCGTTGATGAACAGCAACTAAGATTCTTTTAGCTTCTTCGTATAGAAGAAAATCATCATTTTTCCAGTCTGGACGGGCCTTGGCCAGTTCAACTGTGAAAATATTATGCGCACGCACCCATTGAGCTTGAATACCAGTTAAAATAAGGTTTTCCATCAAACGTGAATCACCACCAGCAAAGCAACGTTCGCTGTCTGTTCCATCAACACAGGATTTACCTTCACGTTGACCGGGTGGAAGATCAAATTTTGACCATGGTCGTTTGGCTGTTTTCAAGAAACCGTTAGTGCCAGTGCGTAAACCATGAGCTGTTAGTCTTGTACTACCGTATGTTACAGATAAATCGATATAATGTGAATTGGCATTCATTTGTTCTTTGACACCGAGTGAACAAACTTGATCACTGAAGGCTTGAGCTGTTGCTGGTGTTGCCATACATTGTTGTCCAGCCATGAATGGATCGTTTGGTGCAACATCGACAACAGTGCACATATCTGAATCCTGTGATTCACAACTGCATGATGAAATTGGTGTACTACCAGAGTCGGTGACGGGTAGAGACAAGATAATATCGTGCATGATGAATTGACCGTACGCAACAAAGAAGTTGTTGTAACTAGTATCAAACACCGGTTTGGATCCCATGGATAAACTGATTTGACGGCATGATGGCAATGGTTCACCAAGGACTGATTGTGAACGTGGTTTACTTAATCCTAAAAATGACCGAATAGGAAAACGTGATCATATTTTGAGAAAGTTTACCATCGTCATAAGCTGCTGGTAGTAAACGTGAGTACGCGGTTTGAGCGCTGCCTTCGTATGGGCGTTGCAAATTGTTACATACACCGGTGATTGATCGATGATTGATGAAGTTGCTGCAGTCGGGATTGGCAGCAAAAACACAAGTATTTCCAGGTAAATGAATTCGTTTCAAGAAGTGATCACTAAAATGGCAAATATATCACCCCACTAGTGCGCCTATGCTTTTTCTTACAGATACTGAGTGATTGTTGCATTGGTTTCACATCCAAGTCTAGAATGAAAGAAGATCAGATGGAATGGGTGAAAATACTTTTTCGCTTTAGCTTACATAGCAACAAGTTCTTGAGAAACTTTGGTGGCAACACGAGCAACCAAAGCACCGTTATGTGTACCTACCCGTAATTGTGCAGCATCAAAATCCATAATATCATCTAAGAAATAGAAGAAAGTCAATAAATTATTTGATTTTCTTTCAGTTATCATCTTTCTACGCACTGTTATTCAAGCCAGTGTTACGAACACGTTCATTTGCTAATTTTCTTTCTTCTTGTTGAAGTTTAGTTTCAAATAAACTCTGTAATGTGGATGGAGTCAACAACGATCCTGCAATATCAGTGGATAGGCATTGAGGGTATGGAATTCGGAAGCCATTATTATTGATATTTTGCGGGATGAATTGATTGCTTTGACCATTTTCCATCGAATTGGGCATTCGAGAAAACGAACTACTTTGTTGGAAGCTCGGCATTTGCTGTGCTTGATTAAATTGACCATTAATGGCCAAAATAAAAACACAGAGCACACTGAAAACTATCAACACTCTCATTTTACAATCTATACTAAAATACAAAGTAAACAATAATATCAAAATGTTTCGAGCAAATCACAGATATTTCTAGCTGAAACTGAAATCTAAACGCCCATATTTATACATGGAAAGCGCTCGTATTCCTATCTAGGTTATCCGTATTCTCGATATCATGTACAGAAAGAAAGAAAGAAAGAGAAAAAGAAAGATTCTGGTTCGAAAACAAAAGTTTAGGCTTATATATGCATGCACAACTAGATCGTTATCATCTGAGAGATATGTATATGTGATATCACTGTGAACTTATAATACGAATTCGAGGGTTTCAAAGAATGATCGATAAGCATGTATAATATAGTTCGTTTCTTTTCGAAAGCTATTAACGTAATGTACCCAGTCATTTCGATCGTATATTTGCCTAATTTGAGCAATAGTATTGAGATGAATGATTAACTAATTGAACGCATCCTCCTTCACATTTATTTGGTAACACATCTCGCATGGTTATTATACGAATTTTCGCGCAAATTTCGAACCATTCGTATTCTATCAACCGCAAGCATTATCTGATGATCACATACGCATCGACTTTATCTTTCCGAATCGAATTTTTCAAGCTGTTTTTTTTATGTTTTTATTCTTTTTTTGTGATAAAACAATAAAACAAGTTAGTCAACGCATAAACACACTCGATGAATCAAAACAAACACACGCGCACATTAAAAAGACGAATCTGGAAAAGCCGTTGTCATGAATTTTTATGCCGATTGTGTTTCAACCCAATCTCTTAAGTCAAAATCGGCACATTCTCTACATGATTTCAAAACATTGCTAAAACAGAAACGAAAGATACTAAGTATTCATTGATAAATTTCATCGCAATTTACTCAGAGTCATTTGGTGGTTTGAACGGATTAAGTGGTACTTTATCAATATCAACAACGGAACAGATAAAGCAATGGAATGGATAGTCTACAATTGTTTGCAATTGTCCTAAAGAGAATTTCGTCGAAAAATCAATTCGTTCTATAGTTAATTCCTACCTGGTGTGAAAACGCCTGGATGTGAGTAAAATAATCGATCACCATCGCGAAGAGCTTTGAATTGCAAGCCAAGCAAACATGCTGAAACAGGACCAATGAGAGCACCGGGTAATGTATCTTCCAAGTTGAGGCCAACAAATAGATCAACATCTTCTGGATGACTAAAAGTAAGCAATTCGAAACTACCCGACAACGTATTTTGTTCAACTAACCCATAGTTCTTCTTTAAGAATTGGATACCATCATAATTGATTGTGTCACCAAAATCTTCGAAGGTGTATGCTTTTGGTAACTTGCAGTATTCTCGGTAGGCGTTGTAACCGCGAATACCGTGTTCTCGACCACGGCAGATGTTGATGGCAACTAAATCATTACGCCACAATTGTCCGTATTTGTTAACTGATTCAAATAAACGATTGTGAATTTGATGAGCGAAATTACCATCGTGAGCAAAACCATAATCGTAGAAGAGACCACAAATGATCGAATCTAGACCATTGTTTTCCATACTAATGAAGAGAATGAGTTTTACAAAACGGAATGAAGACACCGATGTGATATTTACTCGTAGGCATATTTGGCTTTGGCACTAATGTCATGGAGCCATAATTCATCGATACGATTACCATCAGGGGTACATCGACTGAATAAATCACGAACTAATGTATGTAAACGAAAAGCAGCTGATGCAACTTCATTGAATACAACTGGTGGAATCTAAAGAGTTTGAATATGGAAGTTCTTGTTTTTTAGAATTTACATGTGTATTACATACGTTTACGTTATAGCTTGATTCACCAATTTGACCAAAAATTTCTTTGAATTCATCAGTATTGAAGAGGAGAGGTAACCATTTTGTGTATAAGATATCTTGAAAGAAGGCAATGTTGATCTTTCTAGCTTCTTCATACAATTTGTCGTTGCCCCAATGATGATTCAAATCTTTTAAAGCTCGAGCTAATTCATTATGTTTACGTAAAAAGATGGTTTGAACAGATGTGAAGCCAAGAGTAACCATCAAACGTGAATCACCTATTTTCAGATGAAATATTCACAAGAGTAAAATAAATGAGAAGAAAACGTCTGTTACCTCCAGCAAAACATGGTTGTTTGTAAGTGGCATCAACGCAGGATTTTCCTTCACGTTGAGCTGGTGGCATTTCCAATTTGGACCAGTGTGTCCGTGTTGATTTCAATAAACCATCACCTGAACGGACAATAGCAGCGGTACGTACGGTATTACCGTAGAGAATAGATAAATCAGGAATATGTGTATTTCCATTCATTTGTTCTTTGACACCGAGTGAGCAGATTTGATTTTTGAATGCTTGGGCTGTAGCTGGGAAAGCCATACATTTTTGTCCGCGTAAATATGGATCATCGGGTTTAATATCGATTACTGTACATTTATTCCAATCGTATTTCGAGCCACACGTGCACGAAGAAATTGGTGTTAAATATGTATCAGTGGCTGGTGTAGCAAGTGAAATATCATGGCCAATAAATTGTCCAAAAACGGCAAAGAAGTTGTTGTATTCGCGGCTGAAGATTGGTTTTGAACCGAATGCTAAACTGACTTGACGGCATGATGGCAATAAGCCATAGCCATATGCTTTTCGACGAGGTTTACTGAGATCTATGGAGAGAGAAGCTCACGAATATATGAAGAAGAACAATTGTTAGCTTTCAAACATACGATCGTCGTAGTCGGCAGTGATGATACGTGCGTAGGCTGTTTGGGAACTTCCTTCATAAGGCCGTTCAAGATTGTTACAGATACCAGTTGATGTTCGGTACTTCTTCTGATGGTCACAGTTTGGTTTTTCATGGTATTTACAGAATTCTTCGGGCATTTTGAATTTTTGAAGAAAATGATCTCTAAACATGATCGAAGGCTCAGCGAGTGTCGAATAATTATCTTTGTCACTTACAAATTCTTGGCATCTGTTCCATTCAAATCACAAGCAAGTACAGTCATGATATCTTGTGTTAATCTTACAGCAGCAGTAGCAGCTTGTCGAGATTTACTGTAGTCCTTTCTTGATCCGTATGCATCATAATCCATTAAGTCATCTTGAAAAAAAAAGGATAGTCTTGGATATCCCGTCAAGGCATCGTAATCAATTACCATAGTTATGCTTCTTGTTTTCATAACGTTCGTTCATTAAGCTTTTTTCTTCAGCACGGAGTGCTTTGTTGAATAAATCTCCCAACGATGACGATTCGAGATAATTTTGTTTGGAACCAGATAGCAGACATTCTGGAAATGGGACACGGTGGCCCTTATCCTTATACTCGTTAAGATCATCCTAAAAGCGAAAAATTCATCAGAACATCTGGGTTCGCAGCTGATCAATTCGNCGAGTCAAATCGTATTGGTTTGACGTGTATACCTAATGAAGTGAAATTTCACTAGATGACACAAGTGAGCACAGCGAGCGCTCTGCTTTGCAAGGGACGGCTGCATGTACCATGCCTGATATACGAAAACAAAACGAGGCCATTTCTCCTGCATATATAACGGGCGCGGCAGAATAAATGGTGGTTTCGCTATTTGGGCTACAGCTTCTTTTGGTTTTGCCTTATCGACCTGATTCTTTTAGCAAAAGATACGTCGTTAAATTCTCTACAATTCTATTATTAGACATACTTTTAAAATCAGTTGTTGAAAAAGCTAGAAAGAGACATCGAATCGAAGACACGTGATGGAAGTTAGCGACATATTCGACTATTTCCTGCCGACATTCGCCTACTGCTATAATTGTTTGTAAATGAAGATTTTGTGCAACTGTAAGTTACGAAAATCGTTATTAGAACAGTAGAGTTTTTCCTAAAAGAGACTGTTTAAAGCATTAGACGGTCACTGTTTGTATAGTGGCTTTGTTACATCTTGATACAGCCTGTCGAAATATTTTAGTTACTGTATTGATCAAATTGAAAAAATAGATGTTATGACATTTCTCTGCTAATTTTTAGCAAGGAATACGGAGAGAATGTATCCAATTGAATCAGATTTAGATTTAATTCTAAACATTTGGTTCAACAAACTCATTTCTTTTTTTTTTAAATAATATTTCATATACAAATAAGTCTAAGCATGAATGAATTATTTTGTTAACGAGGAATTTCTATGTATTCGTTCGATCCATAGAGCAATATGATTGTCGCATACAAATTGATGAACAACGATAATCGATGATGGTTGAACAATTGACATTATTTGATTACATATATTCATTTCAGTTTTTTCCTTTTCCTTTTCAATAAAATCAAAGCGTACGCATGTTAAACGGTGTTCATTAGTATGAGTAAGAATAAAGCCAATCCATTGATCGATATTTTCCCATGATGAGCCAACATTTTTGCAGCACTTCAAACGTAAACATTTTAATTGTGGAAAACGATCTTTATCAATGATATATGAAAGAAATAAATGATAAACTTCTTCATTCATTTGTCTATTAATTAAGGAAGAACAATCAATATGTAGTCGTTGAAGACGTTGAAAAAAAGAACAAAGATGTAGATTATTCGTATAATTAGTAAGCCAATATTTGAATTCTGTCAAACAAATTTCTAAGCAAATAACATTTGGAAGTATTTGAAGCCAAGAAACTAATTCTGTAGAAAAAAAAGGAAAAATATTCACATTTAAATGTCCAACAAATCGGCAATACACCAATCAACTGTGGAGTTTTACCATGAAAGTTTTAAAATCTCAAAAGTACTTCATCAAAGAATATTCTCAATTATCAAACATTGCACCAAACTGTTTTCTTTTCTCAGTTCTTGAGGGTGTATAGGATTTCAAATTTCTGCTCTTATACACTTCGACACTCTTTTTCAGACCCTCCTGCTCCACAGGAAGATTCTTTAGAAAAGTCTCAAATTGTGAAATAATATGAACTTCGACTTAAATCTATTACTGTTCGTAATAATTTCTCGAATCTTTCAGCAAAAGTTCGTTTCATTCTTAATCTACTCAATAAAATAGTGATTCATCTGTTGATGTCTTAGTGATTGGAAATCTTGTTTGGCGATTGATACAGTCAACAACAGACTTTAATGAAAATCATATTGTTTTGTGCAACATAAGCCTTCATTATGTAATATCTTCGATACTTTTATGATGATATAATTTTACAATGACATTAGTATAGAACTACATGAACGGTAATGCGTCTGAAGTTAGAATATCGACAAGAAAGAAAAGAAATTTACCTTGAAGATTATTATTACTATTTGTATCAATTAAATCAAAGAATCTGAGTGCATTAAAATGTGTTAATTGAGTTTGATTTGCTAGATTTTCTGACATAATTCCTCTCCTTTGTGATAATATTAATGTTTTACCTACATGACAAAAGAATGAATTATAATAGATGAAAGAAACAGTCTCAAATAATTAACCTTGACTCGATGGGCAATGCAAAGTTGGGATAAATAATGATGGTAACGTTTGATCTTTATCAAATAGTAAAAATAAGCGGTGCATTCCAAACCAAAGAGTTGCAAGTTTTTGAGATAAATTTTCTGATCTGGGATTTTCTTCTAGATCAGTATTAAATTCTATATTCATTAGATTGGTCGAATGAATTAAATTCTTATCACTGAAAGTATATGGGAGAGAAAACATTTGTATTCGACCACACATGTGTTCGAAATCCACGCACACTCGTTTACAACCAAAAGGTCCATTGAGCCAGAAAGGTGTAGTAAACGTTTTTGTAAAGTTATGAACGATAACTTCATCAGCTTTTTCGAACATTTGTATTTGAATAGCGAAATGAAATGATCGAAGATGTATCAATTTTCGACAAAGAATACTTAGAGAATAGCCATTATAATTTAGCTCAGGTTCATTTTCACATCGATGATACATTGATATGGATAAATATTCAAGCGATTGAAGAAATTTTAACAGAAGATTTTCTAAAACATAGCAACCTCGTCCACGTACATCCAATGACCTTTGAATAGCGTAAAACAAAATTTTAAAAAAAGGAATTATTTCCAAAATTCTAATATTACCTAAGTTTCACAGTATGAAGTTCAATCGGATAATTCATAGTTGTTAGCAAATGTTCGTCAAGATCATTTTTTGCTTCAATAGGATCGCTAATATGAACATCTTTAGAAATGAAAAAAACAGACAATTCAAAAGAACCTTTTAAATAGTGTCAAACCTACCAAGCCATTGAAGTTTGGGAAGATAATGAAGTAATACAAATAATGTTGATAAATTCAAAATATTGATCTTAAGATCAAGAAGTGATTGATGAAATTGATAATTGTTAATCAATGTATGATGATAAGAAAGTTCAAAACCACTTTCACCTAACGTATTTTCGAAATGATACTTTTGTAGACTAATGGAGCGCTGAAATAACCAATCAAAAAATGATTTCGAATGGTGAGTTTGATAGGAACAAGTTCTCCATTTTAATGTGCGTAAACTTGACCCACAAGCAATACCATATAGAAATATATCTCGACAATTTTCATCCATTGTTATATTCTGAAAAACAATCAAAGTATTTAATTGAGGAAATAATGATTCCACATTTTTCTTCTTCAATGACTTCATCATACGGAGTAAAGTTAATGAATTATTGTTCTGATTATCTTTTCTTATAAAAGAATTTTTCATAAATAACTTTATCACTTCATCGGCTAATATGGTCATTTGAGGACATCGGTATGGATTACCTATTTTTAAAGTGGTTAAATTTAAACGCCATTCATCTTTCATTATTATTTCATGAGAAAAATGACGAAAGATTGATAATGAACAATAACGTAAATCTAATTCTTTATAAAGACCACAAAATTTGAATAACATACAATCAATTCTTGTGTTAAGATTGGAAAAACTATAAATAACATCTGCCTTTGTTAAGTGATCCCAAATGCATAAGAACAGATCATTTGATATACCTTCTAATTTCATATTGTTTAATCATTAAATACTGCAAACTATATGTTAAAGTTGATATTATAATGTTTTATTAATTTCATCTTTAAAGGCAATAAATGAAACGAATTTCTATCTATGATCCCTTTCACACCAGAAAAGTTAACGCCGAATTAACCAATACAATTCGCCTTGCTATGTAAAAGGGCCAATCATGTTTCTTAATTCAACATTATTTTTTCGATGTGATTGACCCTTATGTGACCGGTGTGATCTGAATAGAACAATGAATACAACTCATCACACCTGTTGACCAATGAAATAATTGCACTCATTATTATCACGTTGTGTTTAACATGACCATTTCTTTAGAGATCAAACAGACAGAAAAGTAAATTAACTTAATTTGATTTAACATAACCCTTGTTGCAAAAGTCTTCGTACAAATTTATTTCGTTCGTTTATTTCAAACAAAAATTTTCAATTTCTGTTTTTCGTGAGAAAGAAAAGTACTAGTCCTGATGTGCAAAAAATCAGAAAGAACAAGTTTCGTAAGGTCCTCTATCAGCGATTCGTCGAAGTTGTTTTGGTATGTCCATAAACATGGTTTGTACAATTTTAATATCAACTTCTTTTACTTTTTTTATTCTTCTTTTCAATTGATCGATGTTTTTTGCTTCCCAACCATCGCTGTAGACCATTTGTTCAAGAATTGACCAAAATGTCTCAACAGGTCGAGCTTGAGGACAATTCTGTGGATTCTTTTCTTGAGGTACAAAATTAATACCATTTTCGTCTAAATATTCCATCACTTTACGACCATAATGACTGCTCGCCAAATCAGGCCAGAATAACACTTTTCGTTTATGATGATATTCTTCGATAAACGGCGTTTAATACATTCATTCAGATAAGTCATTTGAGTAACAGCTTGTTGGTGTTCTTTGAAGAATGGCATCGAGATGCCATTTTGGGATATTGCAATCCATACCAAAATTTTTGGTTCGAATTTTTGTGTTCGTTTGAATTTCACTGCTGGTGGTGTAGGATTTGGATCAGATGTATAAAAACCACGATTAGCAGATATTGATTCATTATGTAACAGAAAATATTTTTCATCATCCATCACTAATTCAACATTACCATTTAACAATGTTCGGTATGACCGGCGTGCACGTGTTGGAACTTCTTCAAGTTGTTTGTCGGTATATTTAGGAGCCCGCTTCTTTTTTCGATACGTTATACCCATAGCTTTCAAATTTCGACTAATTGTTGTAATATGCACATCAAAGTCTGGAACAACTTGACGTAATGAAATGCCAGCCTTGTGATCAAACAAGCGTTTTAATCGAGTTAGTTTTTGTTTTGATAATTTATTCGGACGACCAATCCTTGGTCGGTCACCAACAGCACCAAATTCTTCGAACTTTTTGATGGTATCATATATACTTTGACGTAGTATTTGTTCTTGTAAAAAGTGATTTACTGTAATTTTCTTTTGACGATTTGCAATGTTCACATAGTGTTGTACAATGCGTTTTGCAAGACATTCTCTTTCTGGCCGTGTCATTTTAATTTAGAGCAAGAATCAAATGACTTATTTTATATAAAAAGGAAGTTCTTTTGACACTTTATCACGTGATATATAGAGAAAGAAAAAAACGGTTATGCTAACATGTGACACATATATCTTGAGGGTGTGGATATGTGTATTGATATGAACTTTCTCTTGTTCTTTTTTGATTATCAGTTTCAATGATCACTCTTCTCTTTTACATTACATTCAGCACACGTGCAACCATCATCAACATTTCCCAGCCGTCATTAAACACTTATAATGACTTACAGATCTCATATTCGGACACACTTGGATGTCCTTGTACAAATGCAAACACATTATATCGCACGTTTCTCTCGCTATCCCCAGTATTTCACCAAGTATTATATTCAAGTGATTTTATCACAGACCAATGGCTTGAAATATTAAGATATAGCTATAGCTTTGAAATGAATTTTGACTGGCGTAGTAGGTCTTTCTCGCAGTTCCCAGTTATTATCTAATCTTTGCCAATTTGCTAATCAAAAGGTTACCGATGCAATTCGTCGTATTCTCGCCGGATCGTTTATTACTTCGAATGCGTTGACCGAAATCGATTGTCAAAAGCAGATAAGCACCATTCTGACTGAATTCTTGCAGTCAACAGTTATTTACTTCGATCTGTTTGTCGAAACAACAGACATTCTTTGATAAATGGATCAATCATTTATGGGATCACTATACAATACTTACGTTAAAGGAGATGCGAATATATATCAGCGTCCGAAAAGAGGGAGACATATTCAGAAGATATATGAAAGAAGAAGAATGTATTTGAATATACCAGAATACAAGAAGAAGAATGGGTGTGAACTCAAGTACAACAGCAGAACGAAAAAAAGTGAGGATGCGAAAGACTACACATACACACAATGGCCTAATGCAGTAAAAAAAAGAGGAAATCGATAGCATTTCACTGTTCGAAAATAATCAGTGGTGACCCATCCTGACCGGGTTAATACGGACGACGTACTGGTACGTTGGCCGTAGGATATACATAGCCATATTCTGTCATTGAAGCAGTGGCATTTGGATCCACTGGTGGATTTTGGTTTCTACCAGCATTTTGATTTCCACCAGCATTTGATGCGTTTCCTTTATGTGGCAATATGGCACTCTCCGTGCCGCCGCCATAGGTCTACAAGAAATTAAAGTTATCCTGGTGTAAATTTTCTACGATTTGATTGCCTCTTGAAGTATTGAGACTTCTTTACCCTTACACCCTTTGGTAACTTAAATTTTTTACCCCTGTCATGCGTTCTAATCTCTATAGTATTTCAATTTCCTTAACTCCCTTAGCTCCCTTTACTCCCTTTACCCCCTTTACTCCCTTTACTCCCTTAGCTCCCTTTACTTCCTTAGCTCCCTTTACTCCCTTTACTCCCTTAGCTCCCTTTACTTCCTTAGCTCCCTTTACTCCCTTTACTCCCTTAGCTCCCTTTACTCCCTTAGCTCCCTTTACTCCCTTAACTTCCTTTACTCCCTTTACTCTTTTACCCTTTGAATTTTTTCATTGTCTTTCATTTAATCTGGAACGAAAAAAGTTACATATTGTTAAATAAATTTATAGATTGAGCGATTTAATGAGGATATGTTCGAAAATGATGTCTGCTGAGGGGTCTATTCGATGATGATGGTGACACGCCGTATATAGAATCTATTATATAGAGAAGAAGAAATGAATACATATGGCTGGACGTTTCCAGGGTTTACGTGTGATACAGATGAAAAGACATGCGGTCGAAGTGTATATCTACAGAAAGAAAGAAAACTATGAAATTAAGAGAAAGAAGATAAACGATAAAAGAAACACGATTATGTGTCTGTAATTATGGATAGTATCAATTGCCGGTAAACAACAATAGGTAAAATGCATCAGAATATAATGATCAATCAAGTTATAAGAAATGCGGGTTCTTTTCTGGATTCAATGAACAACGCTTGCAATTCAGCATATGGAATAGAAATAAATAATAAAATTTGGATCGTTGCCCTGATAAATTGCATAAAATATTGAGGAATTGTTTCAGCTACGAATTCGTTTGTTCACATTACAAGAATGGCTATCATTTGCCCTGAATCACTGTCCCTACAAGTGTCCCTAAAATTTGTCCCTACATATGTAGGGACAAATTTTAGGGACACTTGTAGGGACAGTGATTCAGGGCAAATGATAACCTACCCATTACAACTGTATTAACATCATTCAGATGTGGCTTCAAATTGATATTTCTTTCTGTACGACACATAGGACGGTTATGTGTTTTTTGATGCAGACTGTCAATAAACATCTCACATGAATCAAGAAAAAGTGATGACTGTATTCGAACTAACGTTTTGGTAGTGTGTAATCGTGTTTTAAAGTAGATCCAGACGCTACACGCGTTGTCATAGATAAAAATATTTGATATTTTTGTAAAATCACTGATTTTATGTAACATACTGAACCAGTGTAATAATGCGATAAATACCTGTTCAGATAAGTTTATCTCAAGAAAGTCTACGACAATCCCGCAATTGTACATCGTGTATATTACTCCATAAGAGCGAACTTTACCGTTAACAAAACGCGGATTTCTATTTATATTGCATTTATTGTTGATAATCATTTCGTCCTCAACATCAATGAACAAAGGATTTAGCTTACAGCTTGTACACAAAGCATCTGCTACGTCAACGTTCGAACTGCTAGCTGCTGTTGTTATCATTGATTTACATTGGTGGTTATCTTTCGTTGTCTGCTTTACTTTGTTTTCTGGACGATTACCACAGCCGGTTCGTATATATCCTTGGAAAGAGTGACATACATTACAAATTGAACAATTAGGCAAATGAAATATTTTTGAGTTTACCTAGTTCTTCGCTTCGAACAACCATTTTAATATTGCTACATATAAAACGACTGGACTTTTGAAATCCGTCGGTTACAAATGCCATCGAACACGCTCTCTCGCAAGTATGACGTTCTTTGTGTAAAGCCCAGCAATTCACATAATGCTTGTTTAGTATGTCATAGTTGGCATTCATAAACTCCACTAGATTCTGTCGATCACTAAAGCAGACAAATAAGAGACAAAAATGCAGAAGTGGTACATTGGTTCGAAGATATATTAATATTACCAGTTACTCGGAATTTCCAGAATCGTTGGTTGGTTGTAAAAGAATGAGATATTTATGAAGTTATATAAAAACCAAAAGTCTTGTATTCGAGCTGGACACAGATTGATACAGATGATACCATTGGTGTTCCAAAATACATTGTTTGTTGCATTATAGCATTTAGCAAAATTCTCAAAACCACTGTACAGATATAAAATGGAATTCGATAGCCACACGATAAACTGTTTATCATAACCATAATTACCGCCCAAATAGATAAGATCGCTGTTAAATATTGAATTATATGTAACATACTTTTTCCCTTGGTCCATGAAATAATTGTGTGAATATTGTTTCATACATTTCGAGCAATTGCCATGTGCTATTGTACCAGTATATGTCCTATCCATTTTGAATATTGTTATCTTTCGTCCGAACGCAATGGTTAAACTCGTATCACAACACTTCTGGACATATGGTTCGATTATTGTATCGGAACAATCTTTTGATGTTAGATAAGTTCGTAACTTTGCATCTAATAGTATCTCTTCAGTCCGACTCAGGAAATCTAATCCATTGATCGCCATTAACGATTGTTCAATTGTTATGGACGTCCACTTTTCTAATTTGTCACCAGTACATTCGCGTAATAGCTCGATGATCTTCATATTACGATTTGCTACACCAATGTCAAGATTGTTGTTGAACCAATTTATATAAAATAATTGTTTCAAAGTGAAGTCACTTAATACCAACTGAAGATAATCGATGTCTCCCATAGAACGATATTTACGAAACACTTTTTTATCTGAAAACGATGTAAATCAAGGGTGAGGATGTGGATAGGTCTGGGCAGTAGGATACTACATGAAAATTTGTACTGAAATACTCCTAAGAAAGCCTATGCAGTTTTTCAAATCTGCAAGATTGCCCAAATTCCGTTATCCAAATTTCTATTGTCGATTTTCCACTAAACTGATAGAGCTCGTCGAGTTGTACTTGGAACGCTGTTTGGAACGGTTGGAACGCATTCCTAAACGAATATGGAAAGCTTTTACTCGAATATGGTGCTAACTTCACCAACGTCGACTATACACCATCCGAGATGATCTCGCAAGGTTTACGTAAAATTACTCCTCACTCTTTGATAACACACCTCTTCTTTCAAAAGACTCAATCAGTTGCTGCATCAAGAACATCAAATTTACTCTTTCGTTTGTATCTGTTCATCCACGCAGTCGTGCAGGCAGGTACTTCAAAACATCATTTACCGGTTACTCAGGAAAGTTAGGGTTTGGCGATATTGTGAGTCACAAAACAGATTCCTCTTTTTTTTCGAAATTCCTCTATTTTTCTCTTTTCTCATAATTTGTCGATGGGACACCAGGATATATTTTACATCTAATTTTATTAAACAAATCAAATGAAAATTCTATTTATAATAACAATGGAAAAAAACTATAGAATTCTGTAGTATGTACCAACGGTATGAACATAAGTAATTGTTTTATTTTAGCACAATTGCGTCGTGTTTCTCTTCTGGTAAAATTACTTGTAACAATTCTTAAGTTATTATAAACGACTCTTAGTTTTGTTAGACATGGTACATACGTCTTTGTTTCATTTAAAAATTGCTCAAGGTAATCAATATTTCCACATAGAATGTCAAGATAGGTAAGATAAGGATATTCAGCAATTTCGTATGATTGACTATCGGTAAATTGACATGATTGTGACTCCCTATTAAAAATACGGCAAGTCATTAGTAATGGGAAAGCTCGAGCAACTTGAATGAAGAATTTCCGATTGAATGGAATCACATCTCGTACCACCAAATATGTAACATAATTAAATCTAGTATTTGGAATCATATGACCAATATCGTGAAGACGATCAAAGGTGAAAGGAATTGAGAAGACAGAACATGTAATTGTTTCACAACTAGAATGATTGATCATACTAACTACATGTTGTCCGATATTGGTAAATGTTCGTTGAATATCTTCACTAGATAATTGATTTTGTAAACCATCAGTATTGATATAAGTACAAATATAGAAAATGAACGAATGAAGATGTGGCATATGAACAAGAATTTCATTTTGAAGAAGGGTGCCATCCGCGAATCTATCTTGATCTTTTATGCGAAGATATAAAGTTAATTTTTCCAAATTTGACATACGACGGAAAAGAGGTAGAAAATTAGTATCATTCAGATTAATTTGAGAATCACATTTTAAAGAGAAACATGTCATAAGAGTTAAATTATCCTAAAAATAAAAATAAATATCCCTTGACTAAGATAAAAAAACATCAGTCAATTAGTTCCAAGCAGACAAACGAAACTGCGAAAATTACGTATGAGCGAGTTAGTTAAGCGTATGAGGATAGGAATGAGTATGTAGTGGGTTTGAAATTATGTATTCTGTTTTGAACTCTTCGTTCACATTTCCATGTGGATCTTTCGTGAACCAGAAAACTATAATTTTATGACGATTTTTCTAGTCTCATAAAGTCCTACTGATTACCACAATATGACCTCTAATGTTATAAATCAAAAGTGTATAGAATAAGTAGTCAATTTCATTTGTTGCAACTCACCATATTGTGAATGATCGCTAATGAGCTGTCTATGTAACTTATTCGAACATTCAATGTAGTCAATTGTTTGAGTCTACCATCAAGTAAATGAAGACAATCGTCTAAACTGCATACATCGATAGATAAATAAGTAAGAATTGAAGAATGGAAAGTATTCGATGGCAAATCAATAAGTGACAAAAGCGGACTTGACATCTTCACTGATCCAATAATGTTCAAATGTTTTAACCTTTTAAAGAACTTCAAAGTATGTTCATACACATTTACAGTATAATTGTTCGATGGTTCGCTCAGCTTGTCTATGTCATTATTTACAAGAATAAGATCTGTAATTTGTTCTTGAAAGATATGTCGAAGAGGTGATACACCTAAATAAAACAATAATAAACTTTGTTTAAATCTTTTTTATTTCATATCAGTCTCGTTTTTTGTTATTCCACTTACTTGTAAAATAAGGTAAAACGAATTCTTCTTTGAAATTGAAAAGTTGTAGTTCGGTCAGATTTGGATAGTCGCTAGCAAGAAGAACACATTCCATCAAATCTGGTTTCAGAATAAAACATTTGACATTCTCATGAATTTTTGGCAATATATCAAAGCAAAAATGTTCTAGTTTGAAGCGATCAATTGAAGAAAGAGGATCGAACGACACAAAATCAAGAATGTTACTGAATATTTTTTCTTTTGCTATAATGTCAAGTCGTTCATCGTTAATATTCAATAACGAATAAAGAACATCAGTATTACTAAGTTTTTTCAAAATCATCAGTAGTATCTCATCGGGCAGATCTGGAAGACGAACACCAAATTGATTCATATTTGATATTGACTTGAATATGTGAATCCAGTAAAAGTATGATATCGATGTATCATTGATTAGAGTAATAGTCGGCGAATCATACTTCCTTTCGTTCTATTTCTCATATTCAGATAAATATAGTCGTTTCGTCATCTTTGTGGTCGTCCGCTATATGAAAATGAATGAAGACATTTCATGAAGAAAAAGAAAGAAAATGTTTCATTGCATAATCGTACAAGGTCAAAGGTCCCACACAGGTTAGACTAAAAAAAGAATTAAGGAACTTGATTGACGTATTAACACTCAAATTATTTTTATGAGATGAGTTATTGGTTAATTCAGTTTCAGTTCGTCTAGTCTGTTTGAAGTCAAAGCGAGATGAATGAGCCAACCAACATTAAGTAAAAACACAATTATATAGTTGGGGGCAGTCCATGTCATCCCATTTGATCTAAAGTCCTTGTTAACACTCGTTGATGATAGATGAGAGAAATTTTCTGATGGAGTTCGATTTTTGAACCTTAATGTCATTTCTGAGAAAACTGACATTTAATGGAACCAATATTCCCATCAGTATTGTTTATCCAAACGATTATGCAATACAAGATTAAAATGGAATAATGCTTCTATCGTCAGTAGAATCTTCAATCTATCAAAGAAGATTTGTTCAGATTGAAAATCGAATATCTTTTCACTATGTTAACGATAGGGATCTGATATATTTTACAATTTCTCTACTATGTGATGGTGAGTGACAATGGAAATCTCTCTGTTGATAATCTTGAAAGATTCATGTCTATAGGAAATTTGTTGATAAGAAAGTGTGGTCTGTATGCCAAGTATTAGGTACAAGTCTAATGAATGAAATAGTATAACTCTAAAGAGTTATGATAATAAGCACACTATCTAAATAATAGATTCCACTATATTCATCAATCAACTGTCGATCAGGATACGGTGCAGTTGTTTTGTGTGTTCTTGGAGTTTGGAAAATCGGAGTTACCGTTGAACCACCTCAACTTGTAGAACATGGTGAATCGCTATATGCAGTTCGTTGACACACATTATATACAGCTGCAATTTTACATTTAATCGCTCTTTTTTTAAAATGAATCGTTCGTTCATTTTCAATTGTCTATTTGTTTGGATGAGATTGGTATAAATGATATAGATCTTTGTTTTCTTCATCTGATCGTCGTTTACGAGATGGTGTGTGCAAGCTGACTATCGGTAACGCACATCATCGCCTACGTTACCGTCTGTAAAAGGCATCGTGATTTGAGTTGTTCGATTGGCAACTCAATATTGTGAAGAAACTGCAGTTCCAACAGATACTGTGTTATAGTTAAACCATTTGGTCGCATTAAAAGATCAATGAAAGTGTCAACTGTGCCCATTGAAGATTACTTTTAGAAAGAACTATTTAATGTTACTCAGATGGATCTACTATTGTCAAGATAAAAATGAGCAGCTGCACTTGAATCTTATGTTTATTGATCGTCGACTTGCCGTTATTTTCCATGATGATCTGACTGATCGACAGCTTGTAAAAATATTGACTAGTTTTGTTGAATAACCACCATCAGTTAAACAATCAATGGTGCACGTTAAATGAGCATTTCGATTAGCTCGATCACTAGCTGAAATAGGTATATTATTAATACACGATATGGTTGGATGAGTCCATGAATACGATTGAATGATGCTTATTGGCAATGATCTTGAATTGCTGTAAGGTTTGCCCGATTCTTGTCGAGTGATCTCACCAATGCAATGAGTATTTTCACTAACCATATATTAAACGAAAAAATGAGAAGTTAACCAATCATTTTCTACTCTTTTTTCCAACAAATGGAAACCTAAAAATAGATAAAAACGTTTGTTATTTCAATGGTCGTGGTTAATGACCTGTATCCAATTCGGTAGGAGAACCGTGCACTATCTCATCATTTTGCATTTAGATATATTCTTCGACTATGTACGTCGAAATGTTCCAACTTTCAAAGACTAAAACTCGCTTCATTTTGCTTGTATAGACTTAAAGAACTAATTAATAACTATAAGATCAATACCAAATAATGTATTCCTATCAGAGATGACCAGACAGAATATACAAATGAATCCAACATTCCCTTAGAACTTCTACCAATAATAGTCACAATAAAATAAGTCAAATCAATATCGGACGACTATTCGAGAATCAATTAAAACAATATCTAAACACTAAATCAAGGGGAAAACAGCGGAGTTGAAGTATAAAAGTACAAAAGTATACTTCATTGATTAGTTTGGATCGTTGAATAGTTCAAGATTCTTTTCACAAAATTTTATTTGAGTATGTCTTCGTAAGAACGAATTGAATCGTCACAAGTCAATATTCAAACTATCAAAACAAACATCACTTATGAGCTTTTTGAATATACAAAATTGTCAAAATTTTTCTGTTTCGAATCAAAGTCTTTATCTTTGAACAATACTTCTCAAGTTGGTTCATATGAATAAAAAAATTCCATGTATCCACTAACCAATTAACAAAAATAATTCATGAGGTTAAATCAGAAAGAATTAATGTACTGGACGAATCAAATTACGTTTTATTTCTGATGTACATGAAATAGTTTGTCAATCGTTTACTTAACTTCATTTCGTATCTGTAAATAGTTAAAGTATTTATGCTCGATGGTTTAGGCAGATGCACACTCGAAAATGGTCGACAAAGTATAACTGTCGACGAATAAATCTTATATTCATCCACTATCTGGACGTCGTAGTAGAGACTATCCTTCCCCTTTCTTGTTTCTTTTCCTTTCTCTTTCTCTCTCCCCATTTTACATCCTTTGCGTTTTCTTCGAATACACATATCATTTCAAATAAACCCTGTTTTTATCTTTATTTTGATTTGTATCAACATGAGCGAAAGTGAAGGTCCACGAACGGCTACTGAAGATGATGGTAAACCATCTGAATCTGATACAATTCAAAAGGTAATTGAATTTTGTGGAGAAATGCAATCAAGCTCATCATCATGTTATTTTAGAACTCGAACCTTAGTCTCAAACGCTACCATGTAATAAAATCGAAACGACTTTGATAAAACGGTTTCTATTTCTTTCTTTAGAAAGTGAAAGCCGAAATTCAAACATACGAAGGCCAAGTAAAAAAGTCTAGTTTAGTTCTTCATCAAAGATTTTCTTTTTTTCTTTGTTTTAGCTTCGCATGGAACGTGAAACATACAATGCTACATGGAATGCGATCAATTCAAAGGAGAAATCGATTAAAGGCTTACAAGAAAAGATAAAAACTTTACAACAAGAAATTGATGCACTGGTTATTGAAGAGAGTAGTATCAATCAATCGATGAAAATAATTCAAGAAAAGAAAGGTAAAGGAGAAATACAAAACATAGAATTCTGAGTGTTTTTTTAGAAGCACTTGAGCAAGAATTATTCCCTTTTCTGAAAGAAAGGGTTATAGCGACATAAATACAGTCGTGAAAATGCATAAAGTTTGTTTGTTTGCATAATCCAATCAGATTGCAGCATGTTACAAATCAATGAAATTCATCTATAATCATCAAAGATTGACCACTGATGAGGTAACCGAGGTCGAGGATTACGAATCTGAGATTACTTTTTCGAAATTCCAATTACCTAATTAGCTAATTATTAATTAAAGAATGAAAATCTTTTTAGTTGTCGAGTAAGGGTTGACCGAAGGGTAACCAAGGTCGAGGATCTCGAATCCGATGCCAGTTTTTCGAGACTTCAAACAGCTAATTAGTTAATTACTAATTAGACAATGAAAAATTTTTTGGTTGTTGAGTAAGACTCGACCGAAGGGTAATCGAAGTCGAAGATATCGAATCTGGTGTTAGTTTTTCTGTAGAAAAATTCTGTTCTGTTTTTTCAGAAAAAGTACGATTTTTTGCAAGGAAGATTTTTTGTGGGCGATAGTGCTTGAAGCAGCAATATGTAGAATAAAACCAAATAGCTGATTAACGTCCGCCTGCTGGATACTCATACTCATCAGCATATTGATAACATTACAATTATATAAACAGCTATATTACACAAACATTATCTGCTGCTACCCAGGTGATTCAATTCGACTGGCGGATCGTGTCGGATTATATAGAATTACATCGGATCCGATGGGAATCCGTCGGAGTTTGCCGGCGTCCTAACCACAGGATTCCGATAGGCAGTTCTGAATGTCGGAATGATCACGATACTGCGGAATTCTGGAGAATCCGACACTTTCCAACATCTAGAGCCGCCTGTCGGAATCCTGTGGTTAGGTTTCCGGGAACTTCCGACGAATTCCCCATCGGATCCGATGGGCTGAGTTTGACCTGGGATAACCACTCGAAATAATAATTACTTCCTCTAACAAATGTTGTTTTGGACAGTCACAATGGCACAACATTGGTGATTCTTTAACAGGGAATGAAAGGAAATGGTTTGATTGACTTTGAAGGGGATTTAAGCTAGATGAAAGAATGAAAGTTGGACATGTAACGGCTAGCCGCGAGTGGCCGAACGGAGGCAGACCGACGAGCGACCAGGCGTTTGTTTGGATGGCTTAGAAGAGATAAAATAAGTGTAAGTAAATTGATTTTTGATTGTAAGTAATGGGAAGAGAGTCGATTAGTAAATCTTTAGAAACAGTGTTCCTTTTGCTTACATCTTTGGACAAATGGATTGAAAGCAGTTTGACATGAATAAAGTAGAAAAGGATTAAAAGAAAAGAATGTGCATAAAAGTGGCTTTAATTCGAAGCGGATTAGAGTGAGATATAGGTTAGAGTTTTTATCTGAGCTTTGTAATTCTTTCAGAACAGGGTCAGCGAATCCAACAGATGAGCGCTACTTGTCATTATTTCAGATGAAAAATTAGTTTTATTTTCTTTTTTGTTTTTGAAAGAGAGCATTTATAACGGGTGTGTCAAAATGAATGGCGCTCTCAGTATTTTTCATATAACTCCTTCATTTTTCAATGTTCAAGAAAACTTTTTTTTATCAAAAGGTTCCTCTTCAAATTCCCTACAAAATGGTAATAAAACATATCTGTCTACAAAGTAAAGAAAGTCAACTAAATAAAGATTATTTATACATATGAAATTATCAACTTTCAAAGCTAACGCCTACTTTTTTTAATGAGTAGTTGCAGTTTATATCGTTTATGTTAGAATCAAAGTATATTAGAAGATGCAGCGTCAAAAGCTCTACAGGTTACATTAAAAGTCTTAATTTCTATATGTGTTTTTGTCTTTCAAAATGGGCAATATTTCGTTGCGTGAATTTTTGACACTTTGCAAATATTTTGATCAACTGCGAATTTTTGTCTAATTTCTCTTATTTGTCGTCTAAGTAGTTGATTAAAAGAATACAAAATGTATCGCAAGATGCAGCATCAAAAGCACTACAATCAGAAATAAACAGTTTGTGTAACGTTCGCTCTTAAAATAAGCAGAACCCAATGCAAACAAAAAACATTTGGATTCGTATATTTAGAAATGTGTGGTTTAAGATTTTGTTCATTTTAAACAAAAAACATAGATTTACATAAACATATTTTTAATGTAGCTTGCAGAACTTTCGACTCTGCACCTCATCATATACTTCGATTTTAAAATAAATACTATTAGTAGTAGTAAAAAGCATACAAATACAGTTCATCGATAAGACATATAATAGCTTTGAAAGTTGATAATTTCATATGTATAAATAATCTTTATTTAGTTGACTTTCTTTACTTCGTAGACAGATATGTTTTATTACCATTTTGTAGGGAATTTGAAGAGGAACCTTTTGATAAAAAAAGGTTTTCTTGAACATTGAAAAATGAAGGAGTTATATGAAAAATACTGAGAGCGCCATTCATTTTGACACACCCGTTATAATATCAGTTTTGCTCGCATTCGAATGAAGTGATGTTAAAGTCGCAGTGTTAATACGATTAATCAATACAAGATCATTGACGGTGGTGTTTTACACAATTTATCGTATTTGAAAATTGAATTGATCCCTTTGTCATCGATCTGTTCGGTCTGGATCGAAGGAGAAAAAAAGGCGAATGTCACCTTCAATTAGAATCTTCGAGTCACAGGGGCCTAGTCGTCGTCGACAAATGACGAAAGATGTTCGAATCGTGCACGAATCTATTAACAATTCAAGATTGTAATTATTTTATTGTATTCTCAAAGATTCACAAAGAAAATGTCAGTTATTCTTCTTCGGAGACGAAGGATCAGTTGTCGACAAGTGAGCCGGTGATTGAAGATCTCCAGTGGTCGATATTTTTATTTCTCACACACAAAGAAAAAAGAAAGTGCTCGACAAAAAGAAAGAAACACATCCGTAGTACACGAAAAAAGAACCCGTTGATGTATTTTGAAAAGTATCGTTTTTATTTGTCGAATACAAAGTGATATCGTTGTTGGAGAGTTCGAATCGTAGAGATGACCGTGACGATGATGATGATGGCTTCAATGGAATTGTTATTTCATATTAGTACGAAGGATTTCTTTTGTGATCTTCGTTCGGCACTTGTTCGAAAAAAGAAAGTAGATGTGTAAAAAAAGATATATATGTTTGTGTGTGGAGTTCAAAAGAAAGATGCAGAAAGGAAGAGAAGAAAAATCTTGGTGTTTTAAAGAATAAAATTTGTGCGAATTCGCAAGAAAAATGTTTCCCGAAAGTTCGAAGAGATGAAAGTAATCATAGGAAAACGGATAACAGCGGCGAGGTTTTTGACGATTCAAAATAAAACATGAGAATGGAAGAAGAGAATGTCTTGTTTATAATGATCGACGCAATTTGTGATAACCGGCGAAGCACAGTGCAGCAAGTAAGATGGTCATGTTTGCATAGTGTGCTGAGGCATCACCACCAGCATCTCTCAAAGCACGGTAAACGTCTCCTACAAGCATTCAATGATCAAAGACATAACGTCGCATCGTGTGAAGATCTATAAAGAAAGTTTACCGAGATAGGCGGTCACTGCAATGAAGGAGGCAAATAGACCAAGTAGACCGAGTGTTGCGAGGCACAGTAAACACAGAAGCAATCCAGCTAAGCCACCCAATAAACCACCACGTTTAGCAGGAGGTCTATCAATAAATATACGTTTGTCAAAGTTGGCAAAACATCGATAATTTGAGGAGTACTTACGCGACAGGATAACGTACACCTGGTCGAGCAGTATATCGGTATCCCGATCGTCGGATAGGCACTCGAACTCGGGGCATTCTATGAGTTCACTACAAATGAAAAGAGCAAAGCAGTAGAAACAATTTCAACAAAGCTACAGTCAAAAGTGTCCTCAAGGCCATTCCGAAGTTATCTCTCTGCCTACCTAAAAGAGACAGGGATGTTGTTGTTGTCTTTTTGACTATTGCTACCTGCCTGACGATTCAAGAGCTCTCTCACTTACTCAAAAAAAAATAGGGAGGAGAGGGAGAGAGAGAGAGACAAACAGAAAGAGAAAGCAAAAGGCGCACGTCACTGGAAGAGCGGAGAGAGAGAAGTAGGATCAATAGGGAACTTTACTGGGCAACATAAATATGTATTCATGCTATTGATTTTGATCACGACAACAAGAGGTAAAGAGAGACAGAGAAATAGAAGAAAAATGAAAGGTTGAAGTCTGATGGAAAAAAATAGTTCGTCAACCGTCACAAAAAAATCATAACATTCTTGATGTAATTACAAAAAGAGATGAGATATAGATGTGAANAAATCTAATCTATTTCTTTTCAACATCGATCATTCGTTTGTTTTCGAATTCTTTCAGAACAATTTCTCGACACCTACAAGAGAGTAGAAGGAGTCAGTGGAGTTGCACAATTGCAGATGTGTGCTGTTCTTCTATTGGTTTCACTCTTTTACACCATGTTCAGCCGCATCCAACGAAGCTAAACTCAAAAAACAATCGATTATTTTCTTTTTCTTTTCAAATTTTTTCCTGCTTTCAATCTTGAACAATATCATTCTGTCTTTTTTAAGCATTCTCTTGGGCCTATTTGCAACACATCTATCTGTTCGGAAAAAAAAATGAAAACATTTCTTTTTTTTTGCATGACACAATACCATCAACAACAACAATAGCAGCGACGACGATGACGATTGACGACAAAAACCGAAATACACATAAACACTACGTTCATTTTTTTGTATCTCAAAACACCACTATATTTTCTTAAAACTTTTTTAAAATAAAAATCTCTTTCTTCTTGTGCGTGCATATCAATGTTTCTTGTTTATCTGAATAAAGTCGTCTACTTTTTATTGCATTCATTTCATCAGATCAGAAGTGATTCAATGTCAGTGAATCGACGTGACAAGCAATGCTGGAGAAAATTATGCACGAGAGGCAGTCAGGTGTGACTGAGTATGTACAAGCGATGACTTCAAATAAGCATATATTCGTATGTAAGTATGAAGGCTACACTCTTTATACCGTGTTATTTGTGTGGACAGTCAACAACGGCTATATTTACCTTCGAACAAGTTTGCTGAGAAATTAGAAGACAGAAAATATGAAAACTAAAATGAAGAAATATTGCTTGTTATTGTTCCAGCCGAATTGATTGATTGTGACGTGAATAAATATTTTCTGCGTCGTTTTTCAATAATAGACGATGACTTTCATTTAATTACAACGGAATTCAATTCAATTATGTTGACAAACATGAAAAACATCAATGACGTAAATGAAATGAGATCATTTCGATTGGTAACATCGATCAAAACGACATCCGACTTCGACATTCCGTCTTTCACAACTTTCTCAAACCAAGTCTGTCATCGATCATTGTTATGAGGAAAAACAAATGATTATGTATCAACGTTATCATTATCAATTTTAGTTTAATACATGTCATCATATGTATGATGTATATACAATAAAAAAAAGAGATAGAGACGCAGAAAAAGAGAAGAAAACAATGTAATGAGTATCTGTTACGTCCCTTGTAATACAAAGTACTGCATATGCCAAAAGAAGAGTAGCAAATGATGTGTACAACTGACACCTAGAATGAGTAGATGGTCGAACGAGATTCGCGAATAGCAGTAACTCACTTAATGTCTTGATGCGAGATCGCGTTTATTGTTGGAATTGAAATGTCTTGGCGGATTCTTCGGTTGCAATTCTGAGGACATGTGTGCTAATTCTCGACGTAATAGATCATAGTCGAGTTTGAGTTGATCATGACGACGACGTTCATCATCCAGTTCGCGTCGTAATTTCCAAACAGTTTCATCGAAATGATGTCTCGCCATGACTGCATGTTCGCGTAATCGATGAATTTCATCCTCTAGATGTCGAATAGTAAACTCCTCTGACGAACGGGTCGGGCGTCTTGTTGTTGGTGGAGAAGGTGTATCCCGTCGCACACGCTTGTAGTTATGATTATTATTATTATTCACTAAAACCGAATGCGATGAACGCGAACTTGGTGATGGAGACAGAGAATCGCGTCGTTGCCGTCCCATATCTTCAGCTTTCTCGATTTCTAACTCTATTTCATCGATATAATGCGGTTTATCTTGAATAATTCGATCAACAATATCTTCGTCGTCGAACGCAACAAATGCGTAACCATGATGTGTAAATGCATTGTTTCGCTTGCCTTTCGGGATCGTACAGGATACAACTTTGCCATAACGATCGAAGTAATTTGACAAACGACTTTCAGTTAATTGTTGCACAGTTCCACGAAGAAAAATACGCTTGACTAGCTTTTGTAACTCGAATGGTGGTAAACAACGTTGACAAAGAAATTCAATTCCATCAATCATATGCGGCCGTTTAGCCATGAAAACGTCGACACTTGTCCGGTCGTTGAATTCGATCACGTAGTCATTCTCGTTGTCGCGAAAATAACAATCAATCACTGATCCGTAGCGCGCTGCATATTGTTGAATTTGCTTAACACTAATTCGTTTCGGAAGATTGCGTAGTAATATTTGACATTTGAATGACGATAACGATGAAGACATCTGAAAGAAAGAGAGAAACGTAAACCATTGATTGCGTATGTATAAATGCATTGAGATACGAAAATAAGCATAAATATAAACATAAAGCTATTTACTGGAAAAAGAACCAAGAAGAACATGTTTCTGTTCTTCGAATGAAAGCTATAGAGGTATATACAAAAGATGAATTAACTAAGTGGCATTATATATGAAAGACAAAAGGCAAAACAATCGATATGCGAAGGTTGAACACGTCGTTGGAAATGGCTGAATTTAAAGCCTAGGAAAAGATTCGAAATTTATCAGTAGAAATAACGATTTTGATGTCATCGATGGAAAAATTACTTTTTCCGAACATCATCAATTGCAGATTTTGAAGTAGACACCGGATTGATTATCGAAATTGAATCTTTATCACGTGGCGTGGGACTAAACAAAATCAAATTTCAGTCCCAGTGAATATTTACAAGAAAGAACAAAGCATACCAATTATCTTTTAGTTTCATATAACCTTTATAAAGTTCTTCATATTTTCTCTTCATTTGACTATGCGCTTCCTCTCTTTTCTTGGAATGTATTTGTTGTTGTTCGTTATCGTGGACAGTTTGTCGCAAAAGATCACTAGACACAGAAATTCGAAGTCTTCATTGATGTAACAAGACTTTTATCCATACTCAATATCTTTGTTTTCTTGTTTTAACTGCTCGATTTGCTTATCTTTACTGGCTATTTCATCGTAACTTTGTTTAAGTAAGTATTGATAATGTGCAACTTGTTGAGCGAAATCGGCTTGTTGTTTCGTCAAGTATTCATTCAATTGTTTCTTCTCATGTTCATACAGTTGCATGCATTGCTCGTACTGATTTTTCAAACGCGTTTGTTCATTGACTAACTGTTCTCTCTCGTGTTCGGATTTACCAGTTAATGTTGATTCGGAATACTTCCTTCGTTTGGAAGATTCTGACGGGTGTGATATGGATTTGGATGATGCGTGAGGTTCAACAGTCAAAGGTCGACCATTGAGAAAATGTCGCGATTCATTTAAAATTCGTTCACAGCTCGTTCGATCGTCGAAGGTAATCGTCGCGTAACCCTGAGCTAAATTCGGTAGACACATGCGTACATATCCATAGCGTGAAAAGTATCTTAGTAAATTTTTTTCGTCTAACTGTTCAGCTGATCCGCGGATTGTTAATCGGCAACCGTCAGTTGGATTATTTGTCGATTGAGCAGAGTGAGGGTTACTAGGTCGATTTAAATGTGTCTTCATTGTGGCATTGACTGAACTGTAGGAATCGATTTGATGTGGCGATGCGCGGATAAATTCGTCGGCGTGCTGTTTATCAGCAAATGTAACGGTGCATTGATTCGATTTGATGTAACAATTGAGCACTCGGCCGAAAGTTTGACAGAAGTTTTTCACTGTTTCGTCGTTTGTTCGATGATCAAGATGACCGAAAGTGACCGTGGACATGTTTATGGATCTGAAATGAAACACTTTCATACATTGACATGTTTTTAGAAAAAGAAAACAAACGGATGAAAAATTAACCAAATTCATTTTTGCATACAAAAGAAAAAATTCATAACAATAAGTAACATCTGACCAAAAGAGAAAATGTAAACAACTTCAAAAAATATAACGAAATACTATTCATCATGTCAAATATTGTTCTACAGCTAAGAAAAACTGTTCAATTTCATATTCTCGAATACTGGAAGACTGTCTGTTAGTTGATTCTTCCAGTTGCTTTTCGAGCGATGCGACTTGATCCGTTAAATATTGGATTTCTTCTTTTGCTTTGCCGAAATGGTCGTTGCTCGTTTTGAGTAATGTCTCGAGTTCCAAAATAACTTTATTCGAATTGTCGCTATGTTTTTGGTACTCTTCTTCTCGCAGTTTATACTTCTCAGTAATACATTTCGCGATGCAGTGAGCTTTGTTCGATGAGTCGATTAAATCCACGGCTTCCGCTTCCATTTGTTTGATTTTCGATGATTGTTCGCGAACAGTTGTTTTTAGCACGTTTTTATCGTTTTGTAAATGTTCGTTCTCTTCGTGAAGATCACGCGTAAGTTTAGTTATACTTCGAAGGTGAAAATCGATGGAAGAATGAATACTTTGAGATAATTTCGAACGCTTTGCATGCAACGACGGTTGACTTTCATGCTCACGTTTACTGGAAGTTTTTGTCGCTACCAATTTAATCTTATATCTAACCAAGGGAAGAAAACAGTGTTGAGCTCGAAAACGAACAAAAATCGATGATCAATTTTTACCTTTCATCCTTCTGTTCAAGAATACGGTCGACTAGTTCTTTATCATTGTATGTAACTTGTGCACCCATCTTGACAACATCTCCATTGTCATCAATTTGTTCGATAAACTTGATACTCAATGGTTTACTCTTTAAATACTCGATTAATTCTCCGTCATTTGTTATCTGACCTTCAATATGTAAAATGTAAGTCGTTGACGAATGATTGGACTTCTTATTGAAAATAGTCAGGATTTGTTTTTTATGTCCATCCGTTGATAGATCAGAAGCTCCACGACCAAGTTCGATATCAAGCGTTGATTGGTCGATCGAAAATGGTGTGTCACGAGATTGATGGTACATTTTCTCGGCGGAATGACACGAAGCAAATTTGACATAACCGGAACGTCTAGAAATTGAAAACTAAATACATACTTTGCTTTTGTATTATCGACTTACTTACTTTCTCGATATTTCATCCACTGGAAAGATAGTGCACTCGATAACATTTCCGAACCGTGCACAAAAGCGTTCTAAATCATGTTCCGTCGTCTAGAATCGAGTATATAAGTTCTTTTCTTCTTTGAGAATCTCTCTTACCATTGAACTTAATCTAGTGACATATACTAGCCGACTCATAGTCGACACCAAATATCTGAAGATACAACAAATTCTAGAACGTACATCTATAAACACTTTTTTTTATCGTATTCGATGTTCGCAAACAAAAACAATTGCCGGTTTGTAGAATGCTTTCGTCGCAAAACATTAGTTTACCGCGAAATGTCATGATGCTTGATAGTATCGTTCGTGCTCAGTGATCCAAAAAAGAAAAGCTCACTCTAATAAGTTAGGGTATCGACGAAGAATCATCAAATCAGATTGTGTGATAGAAAACGATGGGTTAAAGTTAGCCATCAGATTTAGACAGAAATTAATGAAGAGCTAGAACTAGAACTCATTTGGAGAAGTATAACTGACAAACACGTAGCCATTAAAATATACGGACCTCCAGGACAATGTGTTCGATAGATGTCCTTTTCAGTCGAATATCCGATGATGCTTGTAAAGCTTCTTTTTTGCTATTCGATTATAACATACTAGCTAGTTAGAAACGATGTTGTTGTTTTTTTAAGAAGAGAAATCGTAACATGTCGACTTGATACCGATAGTTTCTGATATATCTGAATTTCAAGTGAAACAATTTAGTTGACTTTTAGATTATCCACTATTTCATGGCTTCTACAGCTAGTCTGGAAGAAAAATTCCATGCAGCTGTAAAGGCTATTCAACGATTACCTAATGATGGTGAGAAATCTTTGCATTTCAATGATTAACTCATGATTGAATTAAACTAGGTACTTTTCAACCATCTAATGAAATGAAATTAACGTTTTATGGTCTTTATAAGCAAGCAACACTTGGATCGTGTCAAGAAGTACGACCATCTATTTTCAACTATGTCAATCGAGCGAAATGGTACGAAATGAACGTATATGAATTTCTTTTACTCTATATTACCAACATTCATCATGTAGGGATGCATGGGATAGATGTCGATCGATGAGTAAAGAAGCGGCTATGTCAAGTTATATTGACGAAATTCGAAAAGTAATTTGTTGATCGAGAAAAACAATGGTTCCCTATGAAGAAAGTTTAGATTCTTGAAACTATGCCACAAACTAATGAAGTGTTAGAATTCACGCAATTGATCGGACCTTTCTATGAATTTGTCGATGATCGCACAGAGCAGAATGGTCCTATTGTATCCGTGAAGAAGCGATCTCATCATGGAAATGTAAATAACAAAAAGCCACAACTAACTGAGCCGTACACCAACGGATTTAGTGATAGTAAGTCTCTTTCGAAAGACCACGAGCTTGTTAAATTCAACTTTTCACTGTAGGTGATCATCATGAACAATTACTTGTTCATTCGAATGGTCTAACTCATAACTTAGTTTCAGCTGGTAATGGTCGACCACCATCTTCATCACCTTCATCTTCATCTTCGTCGATCTCTTCGTCAGGTATGTCTTTCTACTCGCTGATGCATCGTTTCGTGCTCTACACGATGTTTTCATAGATGTTGACGAAATCTATGATGATCCTCCTGATCGATTTCCTCTCACCAATGGACTATCGAATGATGAGTTGACTTCTAGTCACAACAATCATTTCACCGAAGTAAATTATTTCACTCTCGCTTCGATCAGAGTCAACTCTCTTCGAATATTTAGAGCAATGCACCTTCGTTACATTCTAACATTCCACATGAACAGTCATCCAATAGTACGACAAGACATCATCCACGTGTATACGGTGGCCAAGATGGCTCAAGTCTTCCTGTGCATCACTCAAACAGAGGAGGTATTGTTGTGAACGGAAATGGTTCGAGTTTCATCAATTTATAATCAATTTTACTAGGACATCATTCAAATGAAGCACGTCGATCGTCAACTCATCATCATCAGCAGCAACATCTACCCATGGATGGTGCCCGCTATTCACCCTCCTCTGTTGCATCCGGTGGTGGAAGTGGACGATATCCAGACAACAGCTATAACAAAGAAACACAACGTGCTATTCTAACAGCACTAACAAAACTTCAGCGCGATGTTAATAATATTCTCGAACGACTTAATCGATTAGAAACATCGACACATTTTCTTCAGCAAGTAAGTCAAGCACTAGAACACACGATGTATCAACCATGCATACCAACACATAGAGAGAGCTATCTGCACAATTATGTTCTTCTACTCAATCGAATGTAAGTGCAAACATAGAAAAAAAGCTCGATGTTCTAGTCGATAAGTTTTAGCCCTTAACTCGATGGTTACCTTTATCTGGTCTACGTCGGCGCGCTATCGCATTCATTTTATTATGGCCGTTTTTTGTCTTTGCGTTGATTCGACTTTTTCTTCGTGCACGAATTATCATACGGTAAACGGCTCGTTCTCATATCTTCGTTCGTACTCTCTTTTGATCTCTATCTTTAGTTTCCGACAACCACGCCGATGAAATAATAATCTACATAAGACAGTTTCGTTCGCGATTCTTTGTAAAAAAATTTTCAGTCTCTTTTCTAAAATTAAACAAAAACGTTGTGCAATAGTACTTCTCGCAGCTTTTAAGTGTTCATCCGATTTACAAGTTTAGACATTTTAGACGAGATCGCTGTTAGACCATGGCATCCATTACAAGCGGCGGTGATACCGAACATTTAGGTATTCCGAAAGCAGTCTTCGTCGAGGATGTCGATAGTTTTATGCAACAACCAGAAAACGATTCGGCGGATACGGTAATTCGAAGGTAAAGAAAATGTTGTATTTCGAGCGATTTTAGTCTAAAGAAAGTTAACGTTCAGATTGGATGATTTAAATAGTAAATATCGTTTTATGGAAATGAATTTACTACAGAAGAAAAAGCGTTTACAAGGCAAACTACCTGATATACAAATATGTTTAGGTAAATTATCAGCAAATAGATTTTCTTGCTTAGTTCGATGTATCATTGTATAGATATGATTGAACAACTTCGAAAATACAAGGAAAAGGATGCAACTATGGATACAAATTTTCTTCTCGCTCATAATCTTTATGGAAAAGCTACAATTCCACCGACAGATAAGGTAAAATTCTCTTCGCTCAAGTCTTCAAATCATCAATTTTCGTTGTACATAGGTCTGTCTCTGGTTAGGTGCTAATGTTATGCTCGAATATACATTAGATGAGTCAGAGGAATTGTTAACTGGCAATCAAAAAACCGCACGAGCAACACTTAAAAAGGTCGATGAAGATTTAGACTTTCTCCGGTATGGAATTCATTAAACATTTCCAATCTGAATTCTTTCTTCTTTCAATAGGGATCAAATCACTACTACAGAAGTCAACATGGCTCGTTTACACAATTGGTCAGTCAAACAAAGACAACAAAATAAAAAACAATAAACACCCTAGTCATCCGACGTTCAGCTCATTTTTATTTTTCATTTGCCGCGTCTTGTTATTGTTGATTTTTTATACATTAAAAATACATTTTCATACTATTCATCTCGAAACATGCATCATCTATTGATCAGAAATATTGCATTAAATTGATGATCATTATTTATATTCGTCGAGTAGAAAACAAATTCTTCTTCCGTTTTTAGTCATTATCCAGCAAAATCTATATGTGACACACACACCTGAGACGACAGCTTACGCTACTTC